AAGGTGGACAGCTCTGCAAATTTACAACATTCTGATATGGGGGAGCAAACTAGAATACTGGACAACCAGAACTGCGAAACATATTCAAATAGGTAATTTAAATTAGTACCAATATGTCAAACAACACCCAAACAATGTGTGGTACAGATAGATATCTATTGAATTTTTGACATATATGGTGATTCTCACAAATTAATAGAAGCTGAGCTAAGGTTTTATGGTGTCCATCACTGATCTTGAGAATCTGTATTTATAACACTGAGGTATAGTATAATTTGACAAACTGGAATCATGCAGCTTTCTTTGTAATGAAACTATAAAAAATCTGGAAGTTTGCCTTGGGCAAAAAACAATTTGCAAAGGAAGCCTTAGAATGCATATTACACAGTATCAAAGCATTGAAACTAAGCCTCCATGTTTTCTTCGTGATTTATTTAATGATATGATAGACTTGATGTTCTGCTAGTTTTATGTGTGTAACTTTCAGTGAATTGTGAAGTGTCATTCATAATTATATTATGGTCTAAGAGAACATGTAACATAATATTAGCAACATCTGACATTGACATCATGACATGATGTGTCAGCACCATGAATAATATTCCTGTCAACAAATACATTGTCAACTTAACCTTTATATTACATTATTTCATCACCATAATAATAATGTTTAAAATCAATCATGGTCTATAGTATGGCAACATCCTTTGGCCATTCCATTTAACTAAATTGGCACAGTGCACTCTAGGAATGGGGAGAATGAGGTGGAGGTTACTCACTCCTTTCAACTTTTATGACAAAACAATTGCCACAGAGAAGAAAAAACTATGAATAGCAAACAAGTATCATTTCTTTTTAACTGAAGCATTTAATTGTGTCAAAATGTAGCAAGGAGCATACAGTAATAGAATTCTTGTATATGTGCACATTTTTACTTTATAATTTGAGGCACAGTTTTTTTCTTATTACATGTATTATGTTTGTGCAAGAGAAACTCAGTATTTCAGATGTTTTTATGACAGGTACTAAGCAAGACCAACTTAACTGTTCTGACATCCACAAAAAGTAAAGAAATGCACATGCCCAAATGAAGCTGAATCTATCAATATTCAGCCTTTCAAGACAAGCCACATAGCACACTGTAGTTTTTTAACTTAAGCATCAGAATGGCATATTACTACTTTTCATGGGGTGTCGTGAAGTAAAGTGAAGGACCATAGATTGTACCATGCCCTATCCCACCAATTATTACACAATTTAAATCTAAAATAGCAAGGATGCTTCTTTCATTCTAATGTAGAATTAGGATATAGTCTCTCTTATGATTAAAACAATCTGTTAAGAAGTCTGTTGCAGGATTGGTGACATCAAGTAATGTGACAATAATTTAAATATCTTTGCTTCACATAGGAATCAATAGCAATACATGTATAAATTAAAAAGTGTAATCGTGCTTAAAGTTTGAAATCACCAAACCAAACATAATTGAAGGCATTTAAGAAAATTAATAAAAAAGGGCAAGTCATAATGTTGACTCTTGTCACAGGAAAGAGCTAATCATCTTTTATGTGAAAACCTAAATAAACAAATTAATCTATAGGATGCACTGATGTCTATGGGTCATTGGCGTAAATAATCATAATTAACGACATTTGTTGACGGAATTTACAAAATCTCTAAGTTAACTGACAAATAGAGTTAATTCAAAGGTATCCAAATAGTTGGGATGAAATAGAGCAGATCCAGACATTAAGATTATACACAAGGACACAGTGATGTTGAGGTTTCATATGTCATGTCATAGTCCTTCTTAATGACATAGCCATGCCTATAATTACTAATTAATGGCTTCTAATGACCTATATAATTTGTTTCCCCAGTCTTAATGGGTATATATGGTATTTAAGATAAGCACCTCAATGTGTCCTTGTATATTAGTAGGTATTTAATCAGGGTCAGTTATAATTGTGATCTATCATGTTAAACCTGTATATAATATAGACTACTCGTGAAACTTGATCCTGTGTTTAATGTTGCGTAGACAATGTAATTTTACTGGAAGCTAATTTAAGTCAATGATTATCAAGTTAATTATCGTATTTAACACTTCATTACTTACTAGGTAAATTATATTACATCTATATACATAGACTTCATAATTAAACTCACATTTAAATTCCATTTTTATAAGTACTCACACCTGCAAGTCATTTTACATGTAATTTGACTGTTTTTAACTTTAAATTTATAATCAATACTAAAAGTATATTTTATAAAGGAAATAAATTGGGAGAAATTGTATATTAACAGTGGAATAAAACTGGAGATACTTGTGAAAACCCACAAGGTTTAACTGGTGACATAACTTCTTGGCATGTCACAAGCGTGGAATCAAATTCCAGGACATTATCATCTAAAGATACTTTATGTAAGATTTAGATAAAGAGTTGGCTATTCTTGCTATAATAGTTCAAACATGGATAATGCAAAATGAATATGTTGAAAATTTCACTCAAATTACTTTATTCTGAGTCAAGTTATCAGTTTGTAGTTTTGAGATGTGTGTATTGAGACTTGGCCTCGCTTATCCATTTTTAAGTTAAATCATTAAATGGCCGAACGGTACTAATTTAGTTAAAATCTCAATCATCTGATTCCATCTAGAGTTGATTATGGTCTTGTCATGTAAATAAATGTCTAATTAATAATTTATATAATATTTAAGGCCTAAAGAAAGACCTGCAATAGGCAAATTTAGCTCTTGAATAGTGTATCTTTAAAGTAATATGCAATCACCACTCCAAAATACACATCTGGTGGAGATGTTAACAACAGTGGTGTGTATAGGTTTGGTGATGCCTGGCATATGCTCCAAAACTCAGAAATGTGAGTAAGGAAGACATGTTTGTTAAGCAAAGATGAAATAAACTTTTTTATTCAACTTAGTAGGGAAGCTTGTACAAGAAAGTTAACAGTGATAATTTCAAATAACTTAATTTAATTTAATTTCATTCTTTGATTAATGGCCCCCTGATATGGACGCCCAGGGCTTTCCGCTCCCCCCCCCCCCACTGCAAGAAGACAAACTAGTACAAACCTTTATCGCCTTCAACAACTGTATCAAACTTCTGATCTTCATTACCAGCTATTATACGTAGATCTAAGTTAGGATATATAGAATAACCAATAGTTTTAATATTTAACAGGGTGATAGGATTGGTAACAAATTCCAATGTAGGTAGAGCTAAATACTGCCATGATATTGTCTTGGTTTTATTTCCCAGACATACTGTGTCCAATGGATCACAAGTGACCCGTCCACAAACCACACCATCTTCTTCAGCTATTAGTTCACTGAAATATTACAAAAACTACTTATACATAATTAGAAACACAATCAGAACAATTAGTAAAATAATGATTATTTATTGCAAGCAATAAATAATTGATATTTCTGTAAAGTGTCAGTTGCATTGAAATGGAGATTAATGCATTTTTTTCCTGCACCAAATGAGCTAAGGAAGAAAGACACCTGCAACAAATTCTGCGTTTCCACCTACAATTCTTCGAATTCCAATTGCCAAGTCTTCTTTTACATGGATGCAAATGTGAACACAAGACCCTGTTGGGTTTTTTTTGTCCCATCCGAATGACTTGATGGATTTGCTTGGCTTGTCAGTCCTCCTTGCTGCACCAATGACAAGAGGAAACCAGACTGGAAAATCTCAAGGAATTTTCTCGGCTAATATTTTGACCAAATCCAGTGAGCCAGTCCCATACTGAGACGAGGGGGGGATAGCCCAATGGTTAGCGCGTGCGTGTTGTCTCATAAGGTCTTTCATTGAGTCAACTGGCATGGTTTCAAAAACCAGGTTGTACGTGACAAGGAGTAGGGTCGTCTGTCCAACCTCGTGGGTTTTCTCCCGGTCCTCCAGTTTCCTCCCACTGCTAAAAACCCCTACACGCAAGCAAATTATTGAAATAAAATTAAACCATATGTTAGTCCCAAGATGATCTAGTTTGTGTTGAGTGGACGGTTAACCCCATTTCTCTCTTTCTCCCATACTGTGGCTCTCATCAGTTGCAGTGATGTATGCAGGATTTCCACAATAGAAGGCCACAAAATGTTTAAAATTATTGAATCAGATATTAAACTGGTGTGTGGTGACACAGCCCGGAACAGTTATATTTTAGTTGATCCTTAGTTATTTAACTGGGGAGGGGGGGGGGGGACTCATAAACAATGTTATCTAAAGTTTCTTAAATTTTGTTTGTAATCTTTTTTTAACTAGATTACATGCATTTAATTTATCTTAATTATCAGAGTACAATTTCAAATTTTAATTTACAATACATGCAGCATGCAAATTTCCAAAACACATAAATTTCAAATGCAAAAAAACCCCAAAAAATAAAATAAAAAAAAGAAATTGTCACCAATTCCAAACAATCTTCTTTTGCATCAATAAATAAATATACCACCAATATCACATCCAGAATACTTGTACAAGTAGGTGAATAATGACAACCAAGACTATATATACCATTAATTGTTTTCTCTAATAGAAGAATTGTGCAGTTTTAGTCATATATCACTAGATTTCTTTTCACTGGAATAAGTATCAACATTTTACATTTACACTCCTGAACAAAAAGAAATATACATGTGCACTGAATTGACTGACCATCACTGTTTTTCTATGAATTTTTGATCCTGAATATTCTTTGATCAGACAAGTTATATATTTGGATAGGAAATAACAGTATAGCTGTTCGCATCTTTAAAAAGCACAGTTAGCAGTATTTTATTTTCTGAAGTAGACATTTATTCTTGTCAGTTCTGCAGATGTTCTAACAAATTCATGCCACAAAAAAACTCACAACTTTTATCTAGCAATCTCAGATTCCATTATCTCTAAGATTTTTAAAAATATCAGAATCGTTTTTGCTTTTATAGTTTCTATTCAACATTATTTTAAAAATACAATATTTTACAAGGATATTTTATATTTATTTATTTATTTCTCAATATGGATAGCAGTATATTCATCAAACCTGTCACAACAAAATGTTCTTTATAAAGAAACAAACGTGGACAGTAAAACTAAAAGCAAGGGTGTAAGATATTGCGTCGTTCTGTATTTTGTGTGATTATGGAATTTAGATAAAAAAAGATCTGTTTGCGTCATCAGTGTAGGTTACAAAGATTTTTGTCATGCAATGAACTCTTATTTGATTCTATTTCTTCATTAATGTAATTTTAATTGAACTGACGAAGCGAAGGGATTGTTTTTTTTTAGAATTTGCACCAATACAGTATTTAAATTTTGAAGAACATTAAAGATGAAGTCCACAGTTTAAGTATGAAGAGAGTCTGTATACCAGTTATCCACTTATATAACTCTAAAAGATACAAATTATTAACTGAAAAACTATACATGATTTGAGGAATTTTGAAGCCTTTGCAAACTACACTATTGTTAAATTGAATCTTGAAAAGGAATACCAGTTCATAAATGGCTGAATTCCGTTCAGTATTTACAAAGATGTGATGAATTAAAAATATTGCAACATATCCAGATTTCATGGATCATTGGAAACGATCACCATGCTTGCTTAAATAGGTTAACTGTTGCCACAACAGCTTATAGGCATGGTAAACTAGACATTACATAGGACCTTTATCAGCTATATGTAAGAGCAGTCTGAGGGTTTCAGCCAACAAATAGATATTTAGATATCTTTCAAAATTATTTTGCCCAACATTTCAAAAAGCATGTAAAGAGGGTTGATTAATTGATTTCATGTTTTATACATCAAAATTATCCACAAGCTATGTCACAATGTTGACATATTACATCCAGTACCTTGACTGCGTTAGCTGACTTAGTTGACATTTTATTAATATAAAATTTGTACCAGGAATTAACTTTGGAGTCAAAGAATAAGGCCCGTAAAGACAGATAACAAGATTTCTTTTTGCCATTGTATTTATTCTGACTTGATATATCTTATCCCAAAGACAGCCAACACTGTCAAGATAGTTATACTTTGGCATTATGACAAAGTAGACAAACACGTAAATAAAACAACAAAACAAAATATATCAGTAAAAATATGAACATATTGACAATGGAATGTAAATATTAAACTATTTATTTTTTTATGTGAATTTCGATACCATGTTTTATCTAAAGGTGCTTGGTCCATCTGTCACATAAAGATAGATTTTAGATTCTGCGATTCCGTTGAATTTTTCGGAAGATATTTTCATTAAGAGCTGAAGAATGACATCTTGTGGGCCCCGTATTCTCTTCTTTAGAGTGACGACTGCCTGGTTGTTGGTTTGTGTTAGTTCAAAGTTGCTCTCCGTCGCTCTAGGTATGCCAGGTGCAAGGGGCCTGGCTGATACAATCTTAAGTTCCCATCGGTAATCACGCTGACTGTCTTTAGCTCCGGTCATGGAGAAGAGCGGTGTGGGAATGATGATGTTTGTAGGAAAAGTTAAGAAGTTGTAAGAGAGTGATATCAAGCCTTTTGAGTTAGCTTTGTACATTCCAACTTGTTTACATCGAACTCTACAACACAAAAAACAAACAAACATGCAAATAAACAGCAGTCAATTACAACAAAAATAAAACAAATGTAAACAACAAAAATCCATTAGAAATATCCTGGTCTATCCATTTGGTATTAGTATTAAAGCTATTTTATATGCATGCATGCAATGATCATAGAATATATTTATATTAAAGATACATTATAACCTTCACCAAGAAAACTTAAAACATCTATCTCAGCAATGGGCAAACAGATTTGTCTCAGATTTTGCTCACAATCTAATCTAAACATGTGTGGGTGGACAAATAAAAGTCCTAGTTCTTAATTGAATAAAGGAATATACAAAGAAAGTTAATCACTGTGGAAATCATACATTGATATTTTGATTCCACAGTATTCAAATAGATTGTGTATAAAATCTAAGACAAATTTGTTAATCTATTGCCGAGGTGAAGACTTTCTAAATTGATAAATGTTCTCAGCAGCACCCGTGCAAAATGCTTTGTGGCCAGTGCATGGATTTTTGATGAATTTACAGAAATTTATTTTGTTTTTGAAAGTAATAATGTTCCTTTAATTGAATTATTAAGGATGTATCAACAAACTAATTAACGTCTAGGGATAGATTCATGCTTGTAAACTGATCAATAAACAAAACAAACCAAGCACATCAATTAAACATGATGATTAAACAAAGGAAAAAACTTACGAGTTTTGTTGGCCACCAGGAATTGTTTTAACAAAACCTTCTGGACATTGAACTAATGGACATTTATAACCACCACGTGTATTAACACAAGTACTATCTCTAGATGGACAATATGCTGTACCATCACTACACTCATCTATATCTGTAATAAAACAATAATAATTTCATAACAAGTACTATCACTAGGCGACTAATACTTTATTAGGAATATTTGTTATTAGTTAGATTGGAGACCTTAATTATTAGGCAGGAGAAAGAGTCTTTGGATGGCAACTTTAGTCACTTTAACCAAAAAAAGTAGTTGGGAGACAATTTTTGTTTTTCATGTTTGTGGATGGAAATGTGTTATTTTTCATGGACAATTACTGAGACATTACAGACATATTGGACCTTTAATTAATTAGAATAATTTTCATTGTTCTTAAAGAAGTCTTAATGATATGCTTATTTTCAGTTTTCTTCATTAAAGTTAAAGCCTGAATGGCTCTATTCTTTGGAACAATATTTTATTCAGGTTTTCTGAATGGGATTGGGGAACAGGCTTAGCCTACATGTATGTAAAACTTCTCTCCTTAAACTTAAAATAGATGAAAATGATTCTAAAAGCACACATTAATGTAATATAAATGTATATAAAGTGATTTATATTTAATTTTGAAAAGAATTTATTGTAAATTCAAATCAATAATGTTCGGTGAAATCTGCAAACAGCCCAAGTCAAACGGCAGTCAGTTACGCCTTCTTAGTCCATTCTACATGTTTTTTAAAATTATTTCGTAGTTTGTGTATTAGCCATAACTAATTACTGCACATTGTCATGTAGGATTTGTTTTTCTTTGTTTGTTACAAATGGTGCTGGAAACCATAGAGTATATGACTCTAGATTTTCTTGCTAAAACAGTAGCAATGTATACATATCATGCTTTTAAGGAAAGGGGAGTAGGCTACCTGCCTAGTCTAATTTTTTGCTCCATGTTCTTACTCCACATTTGATCATTATACATGTATGTACAAGGTTATTTATACCTCATATTTTCATTTCATTGTTATACTTTCATTGCTACATTTTCATTGTATCATCCCAATTGCACATGTATATATATCTCATTATATTTTCATTTCATATTATGTAAAATATATTTTTGTATACATGTATATTGATGTATGTGTATGTTTTGTATACTGTTCTTAATGGACGTAATATGCAAATAAAAAAAGTTGAAGTTGAAAAAGTTGTACTGATTTTAAAATGTTCATTGTGTCTTAAATATTAGAATCCCATATTTTCACGGCAAGATAACATCAATTTTGATTGAAATGGACCAATAATTGATTCTAATTTTTGTTTTAAATTTCAAATATTAAGGAAAATATCAAGTAAGAGGTTTAGCTCCTATAATGAAGTCTATGTTTATTTTTAGTTTTCTTAAATAAATTTATAAATAAAGTTCCAACCTTCACAAGCTCTACCATCTCTAGCTTTCTTCCAGCCATCCGGACAATCGCAAGTAAAGGACCCAGGCGTATTTACACATCTTCCACCACATACACGACCTCTACCAGCAAACTGATTACATTCATCAATATCTATAAACAGAACAGATTGATTACATTTAATATCTATAAACATATTGATTACTTTTAATATCTATAAACATAAAAAACAAACTATTACATTCAACAATATCTACATGATTACATTTATTATATAAATACATAACATAATTATTGATGAAATCCATCAATATCTAAAACTGTAGAGCAGACTGATTACATTTATTAATATCGAACTATAGAATAAAATCTTGTATTTTCACAAACTTTTGAATGCTGGTAGGCTTTCTTCAGAATAATTTAGATATTACATTTAGGCCTACAAGTCAACTTACCTTCACAAGTTCTTTGATCTACTGAGAGTTGGTAACCACGGTTACATGTGCAGAAATAACTGCCAAAGTTATTGATACATTTATGGTGACAAATATTTCTTGTTGTACATTCATCAACATCTGAAAGAAATATATACAATAATTTTTTTCTTGTAAATTTCTTGTTTTCTATTCATCAGAGCATTGAAAGGGAGGTAAATCTTGTCAATATAGGTTACACTAGGGCCATTCCATGTCAAGTGGGCCAAATTTCGGAAATTTGGGAACATGACCCCCTCCAAAAAATGATTATCTATGTTATACTATATGGCCTTAAGCTAAACAATCCGAAATTATACCTCTCTAGGTCAAAAACTCGCTGAGATATAGCTGGAAGGATCATAAATTCAGTAATTTTTTTCAGGTTTTCGGGTGCCTTAAACTCACATTTCTAATAGGAGTAGAACTCTCGAACTTTGTAATCCAAGACAACGTTTGGTGTAGATTACGAATTTAGCATCACACGCAATGTGTGATTCACACAGTTCCTGCTACCAGGTGGCAAAATTTGGAACAAATGAACTAACTATTCCTTTTTTGGGGGGGATTTCCACAGCCTCTAGCAAAGTCACTATTGTATACACAACCTCCAAAATTGGCATAGTTAATGTCAGATTGTCCTTTATCAATTTACAAAAGATTCTGAGACTATGGGATATATACTTTTCCAAATATTCAGCCTGAAAATTCAATGCACACTGGAAGTGTACAAAATATACCTTTTTCAGAATTTCAACCTCTGACCCAAATGGCCAAAATTGAAAGAGAAAATGGGTATATTTTGTACGTTTCCAGTGTGCATTGAATTTTCAGGCTGAATATTTGGAAAAGTATATATCCCATCGACTCAGAATCTTTTGAAAATTGATAAAAGACAATCTGACATTAACTATGCCAATTTTGGAGGTTGTGTATACAATAGTGACTTTGCTAGAGGCTGTGGAAATCTTGAAAATAAAATTGAACAGTTCATTTGTTCTACATCTTGCCACCTGGTGGCGCAAAAAGTATGCATTGGATATTTAAACTTGTCTTAGATTACAAAATTAGAGAGTTCTACTCCTATTTTAAATGTGAGTTTAAAGCGCCTGAAAACCTGAAAAAGATTACTGGATTTATGATCTGTTCCAGCACCCTGATTTCAAATGGCGATATCTCAGCGAGTTTCTGACCTAGAGAGGTAAAATTTGGGATTTGTTAGCTGTTAGCCATATACTATAACACATATTTTTTATAACTTTTTTGTGGGGGGTCATGTTCCCACCATTAGTCCAGTTGTCATGGAATGACCCATTAGTCTCTTTTCACTACTGAATCATTCATTCTGTGTAGTATAAAGCAAGAGACTGAGGTTACGCTGGGGAAAGAAAGACTGAAGCAAATAACCCAAGAAAAAGAAAAACTGAGGGCCAGCAGGCCAAGGTTTTTCTTTCAAGATTTTTTTCTGAAATCTTTCTTCCCCAGCATAACCGAAGTTGAGGACTTTATCTTGCTTATAAAGCGTCTGCGTTTGTATTTCTGCAAAAAATACCACAGAACTTCAGATAGTTGTACAAAACAAAAAATCTTCCATACTTTGAAAACATTCTGTTAAGCACTGTAGTCTCTATTGCTTTCACGAGGTTGTCAGAAAACAGGCAAAAACTCTGTGACGGAAAGTAGAAGAACGCTGAAAGTTGCATAATGCTGAATAACCCATCATGACTCAAATGCTTCAACCTATTGGATTAACTGAAATATATCTGAAATGGTTCCTTTATATTAAGTAGTAATTACATGGAACTTACCATTACAACCACCTCTACCATCTGATTCTAGACCATCTTTACATGTACAAACATAACTACCGGGTGTATTCTGACATTTTGATTGTAGTGGACATATAGCAGCACTATAAGCACACTCATCAACATCTAAAAATGAAATATTTTTATTACTGATATAAGTGATATATCAATTTCATTAAGTAAGATATAAATCATTTCTGGATAAACAAATCAAACTAACTTGGATCTTTTTCTCAAGAAACTTAAGCAAAAGTATTTCAAGTATATAGAACCCTGTTATAGCCAATATTTTACAATCAATTTGTGAGTTTCAAGTTTTCAAGTAATTTCAAGGGTCTGGGCTTGAATTAAATGGGGTGATAATGTTTCAACAAATTTATTTTACTAATAGTTTTCTTCTAGAAAAGTAATATATTTACCTTCACAGAGATTATTTATAAATCTATAACCCCTAGGACATTGACAGAAATAACTTCCCTGTCTGTTAATGCATTGTTGTTCACCGGCACATCTATGTACACCAGTAGAACATTCATCTATATCTATAAAAAACATAAACTCTGTTCAGTATTAACCACAAAAATACTTTTGATCACTGGATCCTGGTGCACTGCATTAACCAAGACTCTCTTTGTATTATTGAATAGCAGAATCTATGTTTATTTAGAATATGCCATTAAAGCCCCAACGTGTCAGAATAAAGGTTAGACCATATTAGACCATACACAGTCAAAAGTACTTTTATTAAAAACATCCATGTAAAGTTTACATGGAATTCACGCCATCATCTTTATGTAAGATAGTAATAAAAATTCAGCTCTTTTTTTTATTGTATATGCAAGCCTATTCATCATGAAGATTTTTTGTAATAATAACAGTTCCTACATTAAAATATACTGAAAGTCAATGAAAATTCACCACTTTTATAAATGGATGATTCTAGAAAATCTCTTTTGTGAGACTATAATCTTGCAATCCTGAATGTAACAATATCAGAACCTTTACAAAGGTGTAACCCCACCATGATTTAATCGTGCAGACATGTGGTATAAAACGTGGCTTTTAAATTGATGGGGTCAGTTCAACTCCTACAGTTCTATTGAAGACGCAACAATATGGGATGGTTGACACCTGAACACTGATGTTTGTTATATTAAAATAAAATAATATTTGTTCTAGTTATATTACACTAAGATACTGTTTGTTATATTACAAAAAAATAATGTTTTTTATATTACAATAAAATAATGTTTGTTATATTACAACAAAATAATATTTGCTATATTACAATAAAGTTATGTTTGTTACATTACACTCAAATTATGTTTGTTACAATAAAGTGATGTTTGTTCAAGAAATAAATCAGTTATCTTGCCTTTAATTTAATAAGGTCTACTCTACCTGTACATCTTCCATTTTCATTTGTTTCATAACCATTACCACAATTAATAAGTGAACGACACTGATAGGATCCGATAGTATTAATACATTGTTGATATTTATTACAAACTGTTGTATATTCATTACATTCATTGATATCTAAAAAAAAATAAGTAAATACATATATGACATTAATATAGCCAATATAATGAAATCTGTATATCAGAACATATAGAAATGGCTATTGTTTGAAACACAAATGGTAATAGGTTGCATTCACAAGTGTTGTAAGTCCAATCTTAAGTTTAGATTTATATAGGGTGCCCCAATGAAAAATGCCATCAAAGCTTTAAAGACGCCTTTTGTATCATGTTTAATTGTGGCACGGAATGTGAGGTAAAAATAAATTTAAAAAGCAATGATAAAAAATATGACTGAAACAAAAGGTGGAAGTAAATATATGACAAGGAAAGTCGTGTTGTCAAGTTCTTTTTTATTTACACGTAGTTAACAATTCTATCTGGTCGTGCCTGTACAGATACCAATTTTAACTGGTCTAGCGTAGAGACATATATAGACTTACCTATACAGTTACCAATTCTATCTGGACGTAAACCGCGAGCACACTGAACTCTATCACATTCTCCTGTAGCAGTATTAAATCGTGATCCTTCTGCACACTGTTTAACTTCACATTTAAATGATCCCTGTACGTTAACACAATCATAACCTCGACCACAATTATGTGTTCCTAATAAACATTCATCATGATCTGTAATAAAACAATAATTCCATTCTTCAATTTCAATAAATAAATGATGAAACTTAATTATTTATGAGAAAAATATTTTTTATTTAATAAAAATGTAAAAGCTTTTATTTACAATCAAAGCAAAGCCAAATGACATTATCAATTGGTCCCAGAACAGGGGACGATAACTAATCTATATCTGATAATGAAAACAGTGTTAGTGTCGCTTTTGTTTATCTACTTTAATATTTATCTAGTGAAGAACACTTCCGTATCGGATCCTCTGATCCATTGTTTTCAAATTCCTGTTGGACACAGATTCTACACAAATTTTGCATTATATGTGTTATACATGATTTCATATTTATACACCCTTCAAGCTAAATACTATAAGCATGAAAACCATGATAAACGCAACAAAATATTTGGTAAATTGGGACTTTAATCAGTAGATGGATTAAATACGGATAAAGGTAGAAAATGAAATTCGAGTGACAACCAGATCATTTGTGGACTGACATCATATGGTACAATTTACCATTGTAAGGAACCTGAGAAAACACACAAGATTAAGCAGTAAACCTATCGACCCTTTAATGTTGTATCACTGGCAGTGATGACATTTGTTTATTCTGCCATCCATTGCCTAAATTAAATTATAACATACCCAAACATCTCTGTGTCGCCTCATCGAGTGTATAACCAGTCCCACAATGTCTGAATCTACGACAAGAATATGAACCAATAGTATTATCACATCTTTCTCCCACACGGCATGTATCAATACCCAAACCACATTCATTTATATCTAGAAATAAAATCATTATACACAAATTAAAGTCTTGGTGTGCATGATAGCTAATAATCATTTCCCTCAATGTGCATGATAGTTAATTATCATTTTTCTTGATGTGCATGATAGCTAATAATCATTTTCCTCGATGTGCATCATTTTCCTGATTTAAAGTTAACAAATATGAATTAAAAGTGTTTTTTAGAAGTAACCGAAATGAATAAAACTAACAAGCTAGATATGATGCCATTTTGATCTTGATGTTAGTGGTTAGAGTAAAACAACTTTCAGTTGTTAGTTACTGATTTCAAACAAAGTTCTTGAGAATTTGGATGGCTATAACTTATGATGATTTTGATTGATTTGAATAACGTTTGGACCAATATGTGATTAGAAAGTCTATAGTTGCCTTTTTACACTTTACACTATTGAGTCTTTAATAAAAATATGATAGTTGTATAACACTGTTGCTAAAAATAATTGTAATCTATGTTAATGATTTAATAAAACAAAGATCAATTATCTAAAATTAAAACTTTTGTTAGGAAAAAAACACCCTGAAACAATTACAAAAGGCATACATTTTTTTCTTCAAAACACACTATACTATCGTTTCCAAGATATCACTATCAGCAATAAAAATTAAATCTATTGATACTATATGTGTAATTGTCAGAGATATAGATATATAAACAACTGAAGATTAAACTATAACATTAATACAACACAACACCTGGAGTAATAAAATATGATATTTTTTATGTATTTAAAAACTGTTTACAGATCTATCTAAAAAACTGTTTACAGATCTATCTAAAAACTGTTTACGTATCTATATCCATCTACTATTCATGAAGAGGTGTAATCATTAACAAAATAATTATAATCAATTAAAAACTCATTCTCTCAAAGGTAACTACACATAACAACAATTATTTTTGATACTAGTACACCACAGTATGTAAAACAACATGCGTTACAGTTTACCCTCGCACTGTCTAGTATCTCTGTTGAGTTGAAAACCTTCCTCACATTCACATGTATAGGAACCATTAAAATTACGACAAAACTGGTAAACACCCACACAGATATTTTCATATACTGTACACTCATCAATATCTTTAGAATTATGAGGAAATTACATAAAAAAGTGAATTCAGAATCAACAAATACTTAGATGTTTTACTTGAATTGTTTATATAATTTATGTCCATTAACAGCAAAAATGTCTTAAAAGTATAAAATTATCTCCCCTTGATGTGTCAAGGGAGATAATATGTATCACAGGTTTATAGAAATTGGTACAGAAGGGAATACTAACCATGGTAATAGCTGTAAAATATAATGACTGTCAACACATAATGGAACCTATGTTTCTGGAAATCTTACCATGACAACAATTGTAACCTAACACTTTCTTATTAAAGATATATTATGTCAGGTTTAGATAAAGAACTGGCGGTTCTTGCTATAATAGTTCAAAAATAGATAATGCAAAATGAATTGAAAATTTCATTCAAATTACCTTATTCTGTGCGAAGTAATCACTGTTCTTAGTTTTGTCAAGAGGTGTACATTCATTCTTTATTATCTTAATCACGGTGCTGGTTATTTGAGTCTTAGCCTGAACTATTCTAATCCGCTTAAAATCGGAGCCATCTGATGGCATCGAGAGTTGATTATGATCTTGTCATGTTAATAAATGTCTAATTAATAATTTATATAACATTTAAGGCCTAAAGAAAGACCTGCAATATGTAGATTTAGCTCTTGAATAATGAAAAGTCTTCTCAAAATTTTTTCATTTCGCTTTTATAATAATCTAAATGTAGTGAGAAATAACCTACCTTCACATTGTCTTGTAACACTATTAAAACCAAAACCACGATCACAATCATAACTTTCTTCACATCTTCTATTGATAGGATTATAAACATAACCTGTCTGACATTTTGTTGTATGACACGTATAACGACCTAATGTATTAACACATTCTTGCGTTGGTGCACATTTGAAACTTCCTTCAGCACATTCATCAACATCTACAACATATATAAAGTCAAACTTAAGAAAAACAGTTTGTTAATGTCAAATTATGTAACAAATGAATATAATGTAGATTTGAGAACATTTGCTTGTTGCAGTGTTCACTAAAGTAAAATTTTTCATAAATGCATGAAGTAAGAGAAATAACAAAGGCCTTTCCATGATGAGTGATTATATATGTATACTCTGGTCAAAGTATGTTGTCTGAATGCAAAGTTCAGACAGTTCATCTATATTAAACTTGTAATATTAGCATTTTATGTGAAGTAAGTTGTCGCTGAAATACAGCTATATCAACTCATGGGGTGAGTGTAATGGTTCTTTTACAGATGAGTTATGATTGTTCTGAAACAAATAAAAATCTGACTGAACTTGATGTAATTTAGTGTTTCTTTTTACGCTAGCTCCAAGCCGAATCTGAGAGATCCACATACAAGACTGAAAAATCATTAGCATTCTGGAACTGCAAATCTGCCCTTAAATTGATTATCTCACTTCTATGAAAATAGACATAATACGTAGTCTGAGCTGTTATTTTGATAGATATTTTCCAGGGACAAACGCCTTTGGGAAATATGACACAATATACAGTATTTCAATGGAAGCACAAATTGTTCTGAAATAAAGCCAGTAGATTCCTTACTGGCAGAATGACACAATATTCTGAAGCTAACTCATTTAACAATTATGCATAAACTAATTATTAAATTCCTTACTGGCAGTATGACACAATATTCTGAAGCTAACTCATTTCACAATTATGCATAAACTAATTATTAAATGTTTACCCTCGCAGGATCTTCCATCAGAACGAAGTTTATATCCTTCATAACAATTACACTTAACACCTAGATCTGTATTGGCACATCTCTGTTCACATGGGCTGTTTTCTTCACAAGAATAACCATCATTGACATTACCATAGTCAGTATCATCATCTATAGGACATTAATAATAATATGTATTGATCATAGTTGCTGGATGAAAATATAATAATCCATAGTGCTAGCTTTAACATAAAAACAATTGTTAGCAGTTGTAGTTAGATGGATAAAGTAATATCATTATAATCTATAACCCAACATGAATTTGATTTTACTTTTACTGGAAAACGGGTAAAAATATTGCTTCCTATTTCTTGGTGGACAAATATAATAAGAAAATTGAACTTCTCAAAAGCTTTTAGGTTTGGAAATAAAAACCCTGAAGAATTAAAAATTAAATTGCTATAGCCTTGTCTTTGTGTTTTAAAAGTTAACACAAAGATAACTTTTTGAGTTTTAAGATCCAAAAGTTTTGAATACATAAAGTTCTTCCTAATAGTCTAAATACAATCTCACCAGTTTTAAATTCCATAAATTTGAACATAAACAAGACAGATAACTCTACATTTTTTGATAAAAATATTCTGAATTATTCCCAACTGAATAACCCTGGGCTCAGTGATTTTTTTAAAAATTTCATTGACATTCCATTTGAATACTGGTTCAAAAATAGCAATGTTATTTTTTTGATTTATGTTTTGATTTGCTTTGTGGGATGACCAACTGAAACAAGATTTCTGTTTGATCTTTTGATTAAAAAATTTGGTTGTATTACTTGTATAGAAATGCCCCATCTGTATTACTATAGTATTAATCAAAACAAAGAAGATCAATGCAATTTAATACATATTTTGGTCGAAATAATCGATGTTTAGTTAATGTTATCTTGCATAAATATACATCCCCATTAAAAGTGGGCACTCAAAACAATTAAAACAAAAAAAATATAATATACAACATGCAAATACCCTTTGATTCCTGACAAGTTCTGCCATCTTGATTTAATGTGTAACCTCCACGACATTCACATCTAAAACTACCAGGTGTATTTACACATCGATGAGAACAGATCTGACCCGGGAATAATGCACATTCATCACGATCATTTACTACATCAACATCTGACTGGTCAGTTCCTGGTTATTAAACAATACACACAAAACATATATCATGCATTAGTAGCATTATGTTATATTATCATATTCAGTGAACAAACATGCTCCATTTATATCAACTGGCTTTAAAATTTATAACATGCATAAATAAATTCATGTCCTGGTTTGAGCAAAATAAAAATATACCCCACATCAATTCTACTTAAAGGAACATTCAACATTGATCAAAAAATGTGATGCTATGGTTAAAAACAGACAGATTTACACATCCAACAAGAAAATAACATAGCTTTCCAGGCAAGACAGCATACACATATGCATCAGCAGATTTACTGTAATAACACTGTAAATCTCGTTATTTATTCTAATTTTTTCCTTGAAATGGGATTTGGAATTTGGGGCCTATCTTGTGCTTGTACTATTAACAGTGATCACAAACCAACTTTTAAGAAGAACGGTCAAGGATTGAACCAAGTGTGAAACAGGGTAATATCTTTGAACAGTCATGTGTCAGGGGCAATAACGCTGGAAGTACTGTTTTTATAAATATAACTCTCAAAAGTGATAGCGATGAATAATTGGGTAAGAATATAGCAACAAGTTAGTATCCCAAGTAATAACTCTGCCCTTGGAAGTACTTTAGTGAAAATGTTCAAAATCGATGTACAAAAAAAGATGGATCAGAAAAAAAAATCTGTAAATACCTTTTTTAGGTTTATCTTGAGAGGGTGGTCACTAATTGCAGTTCTAAAAAAAACTACCTCAGGTGGGCATTTATTGGAACTGGACAGATACATTATTACATTAAATACAGTAATTAAATATAATAGTAAGCTAACCTGTAGCATTATATATATCAGCTAAAACTTGTCCTGTACAACATTCTAAAAACATATTATCACATGGTGCACCATAATTAGGACTTCTACATGATAACCCTTGTGATCTCGCTAGTAATCCTAACTGACAGCAAATACAACATTCCTGAAATATAATCAACAAATCTATTAATATACAACATAATGTATTAAAGGTTTCATATCCCAAAATTTATTTGACAAATAAGAAAAAGATATTTCAAAATAGTAAAAAGGGTACCGTAGTTATCTTCGAATGTAATTATCAAAAATCATTGAAAATAGGCATCTTTGTCTCATGAATATAAAAGCTACACTTACATTTTGACTTGGATTACAGTGGAATTGTTAATGACTGCTAGTAATGGATGATGACAATAAATTAGACTGACAATCAAGCAATTCAGTATGATATACAAAATGTATTCTGGTTGTAAAAAGTCCTTTTTCAGCAACATTGAGTTAAAAAGATGAATGAAATGGTATCTGTAGTTGTAATGGACAGCCAAACTCATCAGCAGTGAATATTTGCTAGGCCGCTACAATCACTAAGAGGGAGATGACATTGGTGCGGGTTAATTAGCTGATGAGTAAAGGTACCATTCTGCCCGGACCAGTTTATGTTACTACGTTACTACATAAACACTGCACATGCTATCTATGCCAATGTGAATGATTGACCCTCTGTGATGTGACGTCACACTTAGTATGAATAAGAAATTTATAAAGGTAAGTCATCTTACACACAGTTAGAAGGCTTTCGCATTACCTCTGTGAAACATATTGATGGACAGCATGGCCGCATAAGTAAAGACAACTACAGCTTAATGTTTACCTTATACTGTTCTGAGCCTTGTTCTGAATCTCGTATAGCACACATCATTCCCTCCAGCGCATTTTCTTTTCCTTTTGCACATCGTTTCACAAGCACATCTTTAATACAACATAGTTCTACTATAGACAAACAACTGGATTGATCTTCCATAGAAACATTTGCTACATAACCTGGATGTCTATCACAACGATTATCATCAATTGACCAATCTAAACCTTCATGGCAACACTTTATCAGGACATCATTTAAGTCACCTAAAATAGAAAATAAACATTATATTGATCTTTATAAACTTCACAAATCAATCTTTGCTAGATTTTAAAATCTGTCCACCACTGACACTGCATTATTAAATTTCACTATATTACTGGAAGGAAAATAATAAAAAAACCACAACAATGTATTACAAGAAATTGTCATTTCACATGACTATGGGTTATAGACAGGTTTATTGAGAAACAAGATAATGGCTGTTAAGGAGTTTGTCTCTAACTTCACCTGACAATTGAACGCTGGTATTTCTTTGAACAGGTTTAAGCTAGGGTTCAGAAATACATGTATTGTATATTTGGGATTTCTCCTTTAAATTAAAGCTAGGAAGTGGATCAGCCACAAATGAATCTATTAAGTTAAAGCTAATCATTGTTTGTGAAAGGGTGGAATGGACCTCAAAAAAGGGGACAACCATTTAAAAGCTCACTATTTTATCTTGAAATCTCTTCAACTAAAATTCTTTAACATTTTACTGATTGCAGTTTGAAACTGTGGCTCAGTGAATATGATGCTAGATGACTACCGGTAACCAGGAGGCCACAGGTTCAATCCTAGTGTTGGTCAACAATGTTCTTGAGGATGAAGTCAGTCATTGTTCTTGTTGATATACACACAACAGAACTCTTGACAGAATTAGATGAAGATAATACATATAATGCATATGTATGTGTGTTTGCTTTAGTCTGGTTGCTGAAGAAAAGTAGCATGTTAAACCACATTTCAGTTCAGTTTGAGCCAAGATAACATTCATGATCTAAGAGTGGTAGAATCGTCACTTAAAACTCAATCCTTTTCAGCTGAAGCAACAGACCCTGATATATATGTATGCATTTGATGGGAATACTCCATCCATAGCTCCAATTTTTTTTTTACAAAGGGATATCAGGACTTAAAGATACATTATGGGAGATTAGATAAAGAGCTGGCAGTTCTCACTATAATATACTCTTCAAAAAAAGTAGGGGATATTCAGAAACAATACAAAACTGCGGAAATGCACTGCTGTTTTTATTAGAGGTAAACAGTTCATATGGGCGGCTTATCTGACGGACCTATTTCACTTGCAAACAAAAGAGATACACTGTCAAAAGTGAAAATGGACGTTTTTGATTTTTGTCTTAATAATGAGTAATTGCTCCACCAATCCTCAGACATTCAGCAATTCGTCGTGGCATGCTCATAATCAACCGTCCAATCACGATTTGGGGCAATCTGACCCACACCTCTTGCAGTGCCATGGCCAATTGCAGTGTAATCGGTTGACGTTGATGTCTCCCGATCATGTCCCAGACATGCTCTATAGGGGAAAGGTCAGGACTCATGGCTGGACAAGGCATATGGACAATGCGAGCACACCTATCGGTAAAATCCAGAGTAAATCTAGTCTCATCTGAGAACATTACACGCGCCCATCAACGATTACCCCATTTTCTACGCTGCCTACACCATTGATGCCTGTTTGCCATGTACAGGCGAGTTAATGGCGGCACAACAGGCAGACGTCGCGCATGAAAATGGGCTGCATGTAGCCGTTTTCTAATCGTATGGGGTGTAACTTGAATTCCTGTAACTTGGTACAAGTTTACAGAAAGCTGATTGGCAGTTTGTCCTCCATTTCGCAGGACCTGTGTACAAATGTATCAATCCTGGGCTTGTGTACTGGCTCTAGGACGACCTGAACGAGGTCTATCATCAGTATTGTGTGTTTGTTGGTACCGGTTCCACAGTCTGCTGATCACAGACTGTGACACATTGAGCTTGTTGGCTACTGCTCGCTGTGTAGAACCCATTTGAAGCATGCCAATAGCACGTAGACGTTCATCATGTTGAAGACGTCTCATTGCAAATTAAACGTAAAACACTAAAGCAAAGCTACGCTAAACAGTAAATCTTATGCAAGAACCGATAGGAAAGCAAACATGGATAGGATAAACCAGCACACAGCAGTTTTCATCAACCCTTCCTTGATGTACCAAATTTGACAATGAACCCCTCCCACGTGTATGGCGCTATTGCGTGTCGCACTTGCAGCTCAGTGGTTCTGTTGAGGCTATAAGTTCTTCATTTGTGAACATACTTTCAAAGCATGTCAAGTGTCCATGACTATTTATCATATCACAACCTGCATAGGTATTTGCATTTCAATATCCCCCACTTCTTTTGAAGAATATAGTTAAAAATTAGATAATGTGAAGGGAATTTGCTGAAAAATTTGGTCATATTGATCCACTCTGAACCAAGATTTTAGTGATTGAATTTTTGGCCTAACCTCGATCATCATTACTAAAGTCAAAAACAGTCTCGAATATCCATTTCATGATTAAATCCTGAATGAAAATTGAGCAGCAAATGGGATCCAAATCCAGTAAAAATCCAGTAAATTTATAATTTAGATAACATTTCAGGCCTAAAGAAAGACCTGCAATAGGCAGATTTAGCTCTTGCATAATGTATGATTAATGCCCTAAAGTCTTTATTTTCAGTACAAATTGAGTAATGTAATAAATGGGCTACTGTAACACATGGTGATGAGTTCCTGAGTGAACAGGAAATGACTCTGAGCAGAATGTCAATTGTTCACACAATTACCATTAACTAATAACAATCATAGACTGGTACTATAAACCTAGACATACCCATTAATATGGATATGGTAATATTTGAAACAAAAACAAAATCAACCATTCAGGAAATTATCAATCAAAATTTAAAAACCAAATCAATTCAAATTTGAAGACCTGTAAGGCCGAAATAAAGTGAACAACAAAATTCTGGAAGAGGGATTAAGTTTGAGGACCAAATTTAAAGGCCCCAACACTTGGGACTCGGACATCACTTAGGCCCCAAAAAAGGGAATGCTGGATTGCAAAAATGTGAAATTGATCAAATTTAAAGTTGCCCAACATTTGGGATTAAATATCCCTTAGGTCCAAAAGAAAACTATACTGCCTTGCAAAAAACTAAAATCTGGAAAGACTGGGAAAGAAATGACCTAGTTTGTGTTTAGTGGATATTAAACCCAATTTCTCACTTTCTTGTTAACTAAAGTGTAGAATAAACTAGCATGGAGTTGTTATTTGAATAAACTATGTAAGATATGTTAATACTTTGAATATGGGTTGAGCATACCATATTTCACTAAAGGTATTTAACACAACATTTTATGAGGCAATAAACTTAATCTAGGGATCAGTAAACAAAATCAAATTACAACAGTCAATGGTCAATTGCCCAGTCAGTAATAATTCTTTGTATAATGATTTATTTTATATACAAAAATGGGTTGCCAGGCAACATTACACTTGGCCACACCAGTTTGGTTATCTGGACAGTCAATTATAGTAAAGTCAATGGGATTTTAATGTTTCGGCCATCTCTGTCACTTTGAGATTCTTTCTGAAGAATTTACAAAACAAACAAGCACAATAATTATGATTGTAAATCAGATGTTAACTGAATAGTTATGTTTTTTTTAAAGTGGTCAATAACTCTGAAAGTAATTACCACAAATCGTTGAAAATCATAGCTTTAGCCTCTAGAACAAGATATTGTTGAGAACGGATAAACAAGGACTGCGACCACAAGGAATTGTGGGCGGGTGAGAGACAGATAGGACTATGTAGTGTCCACCGTATTGGATACTAACTTAGGAATCTATTATTAATTGGGGGGGGGGGGGAATGGCTGAATGGTTAGCCCCTGTGTGTTGTATCATAAGGTATATCATTGAGTCAGCTGGTGTGGTGTTGATTCCCTGGTTGTACATGACAAGGAGTAGGGTTGCCTCTCCAACCTCGTGGCTTTTCTCAGGGTCCTCTGGTTTCCTGCCACTGCTAAAGACATATACTATTCAAAAAAAGTAGGGGATATTTGATTTTGGGGGCATAATACTAAAATATGCAAATGACTACGAAAAAAGTCACTATAGAACCTAACAGAAGAAACATTTCCAGTTACATGTGACGCCCAAACGCACCAATAGCTACCGCATGGAATGCAGGTGATGCGTGGGATCATCATGGGGGTCCAACCCAAGATTTGCACGACTCTGACTTTGAATGTTACAGTCATTGTGGCATTGAATTCCAGGGTGGAAACATCAGTTTAATTGTTTTAGTGACCAGAAAACAAATTTTGATATGCGTCAGCTTACCCAAAATGAAAGGTTACGTGCCCTTGGCATGCTACAGATCGGCACAACACAGGCGGTTGTGGCGCGGACGATGAATGTTTCTCAGTCTGTCATAAGCAGGCTATGGTCCAGATACCGTGATACACAATCTGAACAGGACAGACCACGCTCAGGTCGACCAAGGGCGACAACTCAAGCCCAGGATCGATTTATCCGTACCTTGGCCTTGAGAAATCGTGTCATCACAGCAAATCAGATCAGCACACGTCTTCAAACAGACACTGGTGTGAGAGTGAGTGGCCAGACGATTCGGAATCGACTGCATAGGGGTCACCTTCGCGCCCGACGTCCTCGCGTGATCCCTTGTTTGAGAGATCATCACATTCAGGCAAGACGTCGTTGGTGTAGGGATCGTCAACACTGGGATAATCGACGCTGGAGCAATGTGATGTTTTCAGATGAGTCAAGGTTCACTGTTGATTTTTTGGACAGACGTAGGAGGGTGTGGCGTCGTCGAAACGAGCGCTTCCAAGACGTTAACGTCATCAGACATGATCGATTTGGGGGTGGTTCTGTTATGGTGTGGGGAGGCATCACTGTTGCTGGAAGAACGGCTTTACATGTTGTTGCAGGGCGTGTTACAGGCCAGAACTACCGGGACAACATCTTGGCAGTCCATGTTGTGCCGTTCGCACGACGTCATGGCCGCCGTTTAATCTTCCAGGATGACAACGCAAGATGTCACAGGGCCAGGGTCGTTACAGGTTACCTCCAACAACAGAACATCACCACATTACCTTGGCCAGCACTGAGTCCCGACCTCTCCCCCATCGAGCATGTCTGGGACATGCTTGGACAGAGGTTACGTCAACGTCAACAACGTCCTGCCAATGTCCAAGAACTTGCTGCTGCGTTGCAACAGGAATGGGACAATCTGGACCAAAATGACCTTAGACGTCTCATTAGGAGTATGCCACGTCGGATCAATGCTTGTTTGGCAAACAGAGGAGGATTTGCCCGTTACTGACTTGGTTGTGATGCTGTGGTAACTTTGCTGTTTGACCCCGGGTATCATTTTACCCTTATAATGGTCAGTCTGTGCCTTACTTAGTCTAACGATCATTTGGAATAAATCGATGAATGTGAACTTCATTTCATTTTGTCATTTGTTTCTTCGTCAGTTTCATTAGGTGACTTTAATAACACTTAAAAATCAAATATCCCCTACTTTTTTTGAATAGTATATGTGCAAACAAATTATTGAAATAAAATTGAACAATATGTTAGTCCCGAAATGACCTAGTTTGTGTCGAGTGGACGTTAAATCCCATTTCTTTCTCTTTCTCTTTTATTAATTACTCAATAATCAATGTTTTAAGATAATGATGATCCATTTTTTAACCAGATTTTGTAATATTGATGCATACATCGTAATAAACTAATTACAAACAAATTTGATTGAATAGGTGATTAAGAAAACAAGAAAACATGAAAAATGGATGCCCTTGCAGCATAAACTGTATATTGAGAAACTGGCTGAATATAGAAACATATATCACGGTTACTCCCATAATGTAGTCATTTTTCTACATTTGGAAATTCTGAAATTAAGCCAACATAACCAAATAAATGTCAAATGTTCACAGAAATTGCATAAGAATTTAGCCAATTCGTACAAATCGTTTTATTTTTCATGACCATATGGTTGTTATTGGAACAAGGTGTGGTTAAAATCAGAAATGTATATTGTATACAGTCTTACAAGTATATAGTAAAGTTTAACATTAAGGGTATTTTATAACAACTTTTAACTGTTGTTTAGTTTTTTCCAAATGATCAAAATATTGTTTAAAATAAATTGTATAAGGAAATAAAAAGCTACTGTGTCCAAAATAACCACCTGTAAATTACGGTAATGAATAAACATATTTGAAACCAAAAACATTCAATTGCATATTAAATGTTCAAATGAAATGGGGTTTAATATCCTACTTCTATGCACCAACCAGCCTAGAGTTCTTTTAAAAGGTCGTCTATGTGTACATGTGACCTTCGTTTTTTCGGGCCAACTGCACAACTGACAAGAGGAAACCAGCCTGGAAAATCTTGGGGAAGTACGTGGCCGCCACCAGGATCAATCCTTGGTTAGTTGGCCAACACAGTATTGATGAGCCATCAAACAATAAATAAACAGAAATAAATTTTATACCAATACCATTCAACTATATCAAACCAATACCATTCAGCTAAACTTAAAAGCATATCAAACCAATAACATTCAACTAGACTTGAAAGTATATTAAACCAATAAAATTCAAGTAGACTTGAAATAATATCAAACCAACAACATTCAACTACCCGTAGACTTGAAAAATATCAAACCAACAACATTCAACTACCATAGAGAAGGGGGGACCTAGTGGGGGGCACAACCGGAACACGCTCCCTCCCGCTTATCTGGATTAAAATTCATTATTTCAGAACCGGATTCTTGTCTCAGATCACTGGAAGTGACATTTCTGGCTTTCTGGTTTTCAAAATTTTCCGGGGAAAGGCCACCCGGACCCCCCTTCGAGGGCTTTGTGACATTGGCGCTCGTAGCGTGCGGCTTTGCCGTCTGTGTGGCCCCTCTATCCATGGTCTCTGGATCCACCCTTGGTAGACTTGAAAGAATATCAAACCCACAACATTCAACTAGACTTGAAAAAGAATATCGGACTTTTCATCCAATTTCATCTTTAATTTCACAGAAAATAAATTATCACTTATTTAAACAATTTTTTTTTTTTTTTTTTTTAAATATTTCCATAAATGTATTGTCTCATTTCAAACAAATACATAATCAGTTTGTTTCATTTTTGTATCCAACTATGAAAATCTTTAAAATATATTTATAAATAAAAAGGGAATACACAGGACACAATTCATTTACTTGATAAAGACTATATAATCCTGATCAAAACATCCCTCAGTAATAAACAGTGATTATATTCCGTAGAATTATGTCCTATGTATTTCCAGCACAAGTATTAAATGATTCTGAACAATTTAAATAAAAGGTGTTCTTTAAACTTTTAATAAACTAAAATCTGAATAAAATTTGAATAAATTCACATATTAGGATTATGCAAGTACCAAATTGCTATTATGCCCGACATTGAAAAGATAATTGAAGGTTATCCAAAATATTCAAGGATTAAAAACAATAACAGTAAGTTGATCACTGAAAATATATAAATTATAAATACTAATCATTTCTAAATTACATACTAATAATAAAAACATAAAAAAAACCTTGTATACTTACCAAGTGAAAGTTCTACATTCAATGACAACAGTAAAATCACACACACAAAATATTTCATTCTAAAATCTGTCACTCTTTTCCTTTTCTTTGTATGAAAATTAAATAATTTCAATAATTCTCGAGCACAGTTGTGTTCTTGGAATAAATGAGTCTTACAGTGACATTTAAAAAATCTGACGAAAGTATTTTGAACACTGTCTTAGCAAAGTTCTAAGTTGCAAAAGAACACATAGGATTCTTGCCCCCCTGTTGAGCGCAAGTAGTTTAATTTTGATATGAAGCCAAGACAAGGCTGGTTAGTTGAGTGCTAAGAAGTTTGTCTATAGTATGTAAAGTGTATAATGTGGATAATACAGGGATACTCATTAAGTCCTATTTTATTCTCCATGGTAGACAATGACAATCAACCTATATTTCACTGACCAATCATGACATACTTTTATAGGCTAATTTCTGACAATAGGTACAGATGCTAATTAAATAAAATCATTTTAATTACTATGTGCAGAGTTTTCATTATCAACATTGGTGACCTAATTAGTTAATCTATTTAATTTAATCACTGAGATGTAACAAATTAGAATTCCATAAAATAAATTTGACTCAAATATTAATTTTTACTTGTATGTTAGAAAAACCAATAAGGTCACAAGACAAAACCTCCTTAAAGAAAAACATAGTATACATTAAAAAAAAATTAATATAAAACAGGTGGATTACTTAATCTGTCATAGAAAATAACAAATTGTTTAAATCCAATGTTCTAGAAGATTCTGATAAACAAGTATAATATAAACAATATCAGCATGCTGTGTACAATATACCAGCTTAAAATAAACCATAGCCTAATTAGTTTCTCTATTAATTTATAACATCTCTTTTATCAACTAATGAGATTAAGTTACTAAAATATATTTTCTTCAAAATAAATTTATAAACTGGTTCCAGGGATGCAGCAATTACATACAACAGACATCATGTTTTGATAGTTGTTACGCACAATAGGGAATTGTGCCAAAAATCAAAATAGTTTTCAGAATTTACAAATATGATCTATACAAAAATAGAAATTAAATAAAATGAAATTTAAAGTCTTTATTTTCTGCTCCAACTAGGCTAAAGAAGACTGTTATATGCCATGCAGTGTTTCGGGATGGAAATTATGCCCTGCCAGCAGTACTACAGTCTACACTTATATTAATTGCCAACTTCAGGTGATCATTATACAGAATTTCAATTCTTGGTTTCATCCGAATGACTAAAAGCTTTTTATGGCTAGACCCTGTCCCGCACAGTGGAAAAAGGGAAAGTAGGTTAAGAAAATCTCAGCAAACACTGGGATCGAACCTAAGACCTCTTGTTTAGTTGCCAGCTTCATACTCACCGAGCCATCGTAGATGCCATTTTAACAGAGCGGGAATATATTATTTAATACAGTGGCACCAGCCATGACTTCTGAAATAGTGTTGGAGAAGGGTTTTTGGTCCCTTTTCCTCACTCCCTTAATGTCACTACTAACATTTGGCATTTCTTGCTTGCTGCAAGTTAAAGATTTATTATCACTCAGCAGGACTAATGTTTCCTGAAGAATGACAATCATTGAAAATACTATTAAACTATTAAAACTTTTTCCAGTAGAAAATACATGTATCAAAAAGCACATATATATACTATATGTATTAATGCATACAACTGATCAGTAAATCTGAAGAAATTCAAATTTTGACTAAATACAGTGAAGGTTAAAGGGGCCAGGATGTATTCCACTATCTGATAAGACTGTAACACTTTCCTCTTGACCTTATTTTCTCAATTATTCGGTCTTCACCCGAGTTAACAACCACAACTATCTTAATTAAAGAACTTGATATGTGATGTAAGAATAATTACTCTACTTGATTGTAACTCATTCCATAGTATAATTTCAGACATTGTTACATAAGAAGATTAATAAAGATACTATATCTTTCTTTATGCAAAACAAAACACTAAAAAAAAGAAGAATGTGTGACTAATAATTTATACAGATGAAAAACAAAGTATTGTGTACAAATAATTACTATATCTAAACTATGGACATTTAAGAACCTCATGGTGGAAGTTTTAGGTCCATTAAATTATAACAAATGTAGCAGTCACCACCAGCATTTTTGTGGGTAACATTTAAGTTTTCAGTGTCAGCTGCACATAAAATTGATACCAAAGTCTGAATTTGGATACGATTGCTTCTAGTGGACTGGCAAAACAATTCCAACAAGTTTGAAACACTGATTCTCAATTTCAACACTGTGTAAGCTATATTTGAACAATACCAAGAAATTTGGAAAAAAATGTCAAAAGTCCTTCCCTTTAAAGGGGCAGTAACTCTGTAAAAAACTAAAGAAAACTCTCAGCTATAGAGCCTTTACAATGTTTTGGCGACAGGGGCAGCAAATATGAAAAACTAGCTCTTTACTAATTAGGAATAGCTGAAAAATCACAGCAAAGTTAGGCAAACTCATAAGATCTCCACTGAACACAGCATTAACAAGATATTTAGTCTAACAGAAATACAGAGACAACCACAATTTAAAATGAAAAATAATAGGTTAACAAAAGTATCATGCAACACCAACATATATTATTGATAAAAGCTATATATATACAGACCAATTGTAATTATTGCATTTAAGGGGAACTGCAAGGTTTAATTATATTATATCAGTTGGAAATTCCATACAGGAAGATAAATTAATGTGATGAACTAAGTTACAAATGTATGGAATAGGAGATCCCACACCTCAAGAATTGGAAGTTACAGGCGGAAGTAATTTAAAGCTAAAAAGAATAGGGATGTGACCTTCGTGACCGATTTAAATTTGCCATAATCCCCACCAGGTTATATATCTGTATATTCAGAAATCACAACCCAGGCAACTTATCTCTCTATTTCAATAGTCACAAACATCTAATTTGCCCTTTACTTAAATTCAAATCTTGACAACCATTGCCCGATCAGCATATATACCAACATTTTTAACTAAATTTTCTCTTTAAAGGTGTACTTGCCCAAGCTCTATGTTAAGCCACATCATCTGGGCAACATACCTACCACATTTTGATGGAATACTTCAAGCAGTTTAGCAACATTAGTTGAAAACAAGCCAACAGTGAGGCTGATGTCCCCCGCCGAAATCCCAAAATAAATAGATGACACATATTAATTTATTACACATTTATCTTTTTCAAAAGTATTGATTAATCAAACTGATTATCTATACCTAGTCTAAGCATAACATGTTCAAGGTGTTGAAGTACTGGGTAGTGAAACTATGCACTAAGTTTCATCACTCTACATCAGTTAGAATCAATGTTATCTTGTCCCAAGGCATCAACCAATAAAATTTCTTAGCTCTGCTTAGCGTCAGTGAGAAATGTTAATCATTGAACTCAGTCAAGACATTCATCTAATGAACATCTACATCAAGTTTAAACATTCTACCTCAATTAAAAGCAGAGTTGTTATGTTCCAAAGTCTTGACCAATCAAATTGCTTATCGCTACTTAGCCTAAGCAGAAAATCCTCATCATCGAACTTAGTATTGATATAATGAATCTATACTTGGAGTTTCATCGCTCTCATCCAATTAGAACAAAAGTTATCGTGTTCCATAGTCTCAACCAATCAAATTGCTCATCACTGCTTAGCCTAAGTGGAAAATGCTTATGATCGAACTCTGTTAAGGCATTCACTTGATAGACACCTACACCAAGTTTGAACATTCTACCTCAATTAGAAGGAGAGTTATTGTGTTCCAAAGTCTCGACCAATCAGATTGAAGTCTCTATTTTGCCTAAGCAGAAAATACTCAGCATCGAACTTTGTTAAGTAAGGTACTGATGTAATGAAATTAAACACTGTCACTCAATTAAAATAAAATTTGTTGAGCCACAATTCTCGACCAATCAAATTGCCTATCGCTCGGATTACCCTGAGCTGAAAATGCTTATAATCGAACTTAGTCATGTTTCACTAAGTTTCATTGCTCTCACTTAATTAGAACCAAAATTATCGTGTCCCAAAGCATCACCCAATCAAATTGCTTATCTCTGCTTAACCTAATGTTATCATGATCCAAAGCATCAACCATCAAATTGCTTATCTCTGCTTAATCTGAAGCAGAAAATTCTCATCTTCAAACTCCATGAAGGCATTCACCTAATGAACGCCTGCACCAAGTATGAACATTCTAGCTCAATTAGAAAGAGAATTATTGTGTCCCAAAAAGTGTGACGGACAGACAGACCCATTTTAATAATCCCCTGTTTTTCTTCAAAAGGCAGGGGACAATAACCAATAGTTTATCCTGGTTGGACAAAGGATGGGCAAATAATAGTCCATATTATTTGTTTGTGGCATATGTGAATTTTGGCTGCTTTGGTTTACCTCTATTTTCACCAAATCCAGTTTTATCATCTGTAGAGGATGTTGAATGTTGTGATTTTTTTCGATTCACGATATATTTGTAAAAAATGAATAGAATTAAACCACTTTTGGGCTGATATTCCTTTTAGAGATTCAACACAGATCCGATTGATAAATACATTGAAATTAAATGAGAACATAACTACTGAATAATTTTTATTAAATAGTGTACAGCATGAAACGAATATACATGACATTTAAATATTTACAAATAATCCATGTGATAAATAATTCTTATGAGTTGTATATAACATGTGTAAGACAACAAATTAACTATGGAATATCAATATATACACCCTCTGTTATTTGTGTTCGAAATTCATTAATATCCCATGAGAAAAATATAAATTTCTATGATTTCCAAAATGTATACTTCATGTGGCTATCTTTTAGCAAGATCATAAAAATAATTGTTAGTTTCATTTTAACAGAATTTCTTTCCAAATGACATAGAACTCATTACTGGTATTCAATTTTCATCACTTTTGTGTATAGATGCTGCAATCCACTCCCTATATATGTGCCCAAAGTTGTGCACATAATGTGCTGATATTCTGCTGGAAATGACATTTAAACTTGCACTCACTGTTTCTGAACTCAATTCTCTCATTGTAATAGGGTGGAAATCAATTAAACTTTACAAATTTAAACAAGGCATGCACCAATTGAACATAAAATCTCCAGGCATCATCCACACAAGAACAGAACAATTGAGCATTTCTTTATATTAGTCAGATATTGAAAAAAGTTTTGGTAAGTTTAACCTATACAGCTATGTTTCGGTTCTAAATTACATTAACTTCATACAAAAACTTATAATTTGTATAAGATGGATGATGCAGAATGTGTGAGTTTTAAAGTAAGATAAATAGGTCAAATTAAATGAGAGTAGATTTATCTGTGACCGGAGGCAGATAACTTTCTTTTCTTCACAATAACATCAGTGTTTGGACCTTAAAGCATAAAATAGACATTCACATTTAATATAAATTATACTATGGTTTTCATTTATAATTGAGAGGTAAATAGGTTCATTTACCTTGCCTATTTGTAATATTTTAAATGCCAGCTTTTAATTCAGTTCTACCTGCTAGTAAATATTTACCATCATATAATTAAGTACTTTAGAGATATATAGTGGTTCAGAAAATAAAATTTGATTTGATGTGAATGACTAAATTTGATTCTATGAGAAAAGTTAATCTAAATATGCCAATCCATTGCTGAGATAGACATTTAAAAGATTACGAGTAATCAACAATCATATATATATTTTGGCCAAAGTTCTTCTGTAGACACTCCTGTGTAATTTACTCTAGCAAGTTGGCCAGCAATTGGATGTTCAATAATTAGGTTAGTCTAAGGCTATTATATACTCTTCAAAAAAAGTAGGGGATATTGAAATGTAAATACCTATGCAGGTTGCGATATGATAAATAGTCATGGACATTTGACATGCTTTGAGAGTATGTTCACAGATGAAGAACTTAGCGCCCCAACAGAACCACTGAGCTGCACATACAACATGCAATAGCGCCATACACGTGGGAGGGGTTCATTGTCAAATTTGACACTTCAAGGAGGGTTTGATGAAAACTGCTGCGTGCTGGTTTATCTATCCATGTTTGCTTTCGTATCGGTTCTTTCATAAGATTTACTGTTTAGCGTATCTTTGCTTTAGTGTGTTACGTTTAAATTGATCGGTAGATGTGTTTGTCGACGTCAACGTCAACCGACAACACTGCAAGAATTGGCCGTGGCACTGCAAGAGGAGTGAGTCAGATTGCAACAAATCGTGATTGGACAGTTGATTAGGAGCATGCCACGACTAATTGCTGAATGTCTGAGGATTGGTTAAACAATTACTCATTGTTAAGAGAGAGAGAGAGAGAGAGAGAGAGAGAAATGGGGTTTAACGTCCACTTGTCACAAACTAGGTCATTTTGGGACTAACATATGGTTTAATTTTATTTCAATAATTTGCTTGCGCGTAGGGGTCTTTAGCAGTAGGAGGAAACCGGAGGACCCGGAGAAAACCCATGAGGCTGGACAGGCGACCCTACTCCTTGTCACGTACAACCAGGGATTTGAAACCACGCCAGTTGACTCAATGACAGGTTATATGATACAGCACGCTTGTGCTAACCATTCGGCCATCCAACCCCCCCTCATTACTAAGACAAAAATCCAAAACGTCCATTTTCACTTTTGACGGTGAAATGGGGCCGTCAGATAAGCCGCCCATATGAACTGTTTATGTTCAAGTGTAGGCAATTGGCCTGTTATTAACATACACTGGTTACCTACACTGCATTTCCGCAGTTTTGTATTGTTTCTGAATATCCCCTACTTTTTTTGAAGAGTACAAATATAGATAGACTTAAATTAATAACATGTATTTTCTAAATGCCATTGCTAATGCCTCTATGAACTGATTCTGGAAAACTCTTGACTTTAATAATTGACTGATAGTAAAAGTCATTTATTTACCAGTTGTTATAGGACCTCTATTCCTTTGTTTACTTCTAGTTTTTAAACCAGGTTGACGATTCTCATCGTCTTCTACTAAATTCTCCTCTAATAAATAGTCGGCTTGACTCCAGATTTCATCCTCTAAAATATATTACATGCATTCATAGACTTAGAATGGAATGGGGATTTAACTGAGACTAACATGGTTAGTTTTTCCTATGTGCAATGCTAAGGTGATAAATTTTGAACATTCTTGACTTTGTCTACTGTTCATCCAATTCAGATGTTAAGGGTTCTTTACATCCATGCCAATGGGTACATGGTTTTACGTAGCATCGGAACTACCAGACAACACTTTAGTTGTCATTCTTGCTAGCGCAACCCCTGAAAAATCCTGAGGTACTGTCAGCAATAATACACCATGATTAAAACCTGAGACATTCTATTCAAGAGTTCAGTACCCTTACGACTCGACTAACGCGGTCCGAATTTTATAAATAAGATATATCTTATACTTAAATAATAATATGAAATTATTTAAAGGGGAAGTCTAAGATTTAATTTAGGGAATGAAGATACTAATTCTGAGTGAAAATCTTTATTCTCGTTGTCTGCAACTATCTCAAGCCATGTGATACCTTATTGAAGAAATACAAACTTTTAATTTCCATGAATATAATGATTATATTTGAAAGGCTCAATATTATAATTTTAAAATTTTCAGACAAGGTATACAAGTAGCTCAGTTTGTCACATTCTGGCATTTGAATAATAAGCTTATACTTTAAACCACTTTTTTATGGTCTCCAAAGAAATCTGTAACCTTCCTTTTATGCCTGTAAAGTTTCAACACAGGGGAGAAAACCATTGAAAATGTAATTGATATTTTTATGTCTCACAGTCTCTATCAACATTATTTCAACAAAACTGGATTCTACCTACCAAAATTATCTTCTGCTACAAGTTGTTGTATTGGTGGTTGGTCTGATATATGTTTTACCTGGATGTAAGAAGCACCATCATCTTGTTTAGGTGTATTCTGATTGGAAGGTAGTCTAAGAGGCATGATGGGACTATTTCTACTTCCACCAACAAAAGGTGTAGATGTGGCCATAGGTAAACCTGAAATGAGTATCAATATTACCCATTGTTTTTTTTAAAAGTATCAAATCAAGAGTCTACCACTTAAAAATACATTTTCTCTCTTTGGGACTATGTGAATTACAGAATGTCATGGAAAAAAAAATATATAAAGTGACAGATTATCAGTTATATTTTATACCCATTCTGGTAGGTTCTAAGTTACTGTCTTGAAGAGCAGTATTTTGACGAATCTGTTCTTGATATCTCAATTGTTTTTCCCTCTGTCGTCGAATTCTTTCCTGTTTCTTTTTTTCTTCCTCTGACAGTATTGGTGACCTAAAATTTAAAAAAAAATGGTTTAACCTCACCTAGCTCGGTCACTAATATAAGGTTTATTTCTTCTTTTTCAACAATTAATGCAGGGATCTTTAATCTTCTTCAATAATTAACGCAGGGGTCTTTAGAAATGGGCACTGCCGAGAGAAACTCCATGAGTATAGGCAGGTGACACAAGTTCAGCAAGCATGGCCTCGACTTGCATAGATAACAGACATGCAGTAGGCCAAACTTAGAATATTTTGGCTGTTAACCCATTTTTTCTGTAATAAATCCATCATAAATCTTAAGGCAATGATTAATTTAATTAAGAGATTCCACAATAAACACTATATATACAAGGGATTTTAGGTCAAATCTCTGTATACACTATCTTACATATTTTATAAAATGTCAATAAAATCAAAATTTACCCAACAGGACAGGCCTGGTCTCTATTTGAATTGTTAGGAACACCTTGATTGTAACTGGTGGGGTTAACATTAGGTGCAGGATTAATCAATCGGTTATCTCTGATTGTTCCAGTCTCAGAACTAGATCTTCGTGACATTATAACTGTACTTTCTACACTCAACGCTTTCACTCTGCCATTTGTTTCTTCAGACGTAGTAACATCTACTCTTGGTGATGTTGAGTTTCTAGGTTTTATCTGGTTAGTGGAGGTAGAATCTTTATCATACTTTGAATCTGATTGGTTGCCATTCATGAGATTATGCTGCGTAATGGTAATGGATGGATTATATTTATTTTTTTGTCTGGCGTGTAATATTTTTGGGTTCAGCATTTCTGATTTCAGATCGGCCAAATTACAAACTTCAGGAGGCTGAAAAAGAAAAAATTTCTGTTAGTTCACATATTCTTTTTGACATATATTCTACTTGAGAATAAAGTATGGACACCAGTCGTTTATTGAAAATAATTAGGCTGTATTTTTCACATACTGCTACCATTTATTAACGAATTTGAGGAGATTAACAAAAGGGCAAGTCTATTGTATATCACTAGCCTAGTACTCCTAGTTGGCCTACATGTACGTACTTTAAAGTTTTTATTATGAAACAATTTCGGAGGGCGACATGTTTTGAATGTAGAATTATCACTTGTTTAATATAACAGGTAATTAATGAACAAAGTAAATTTAGGCCTTTGTAATGTCTGATCTATTAAAGAGCACACACTGTCTACATTTGGTGTACTATGACAATGCATTACACAGTCATATCTAAACTTGACATTTTTTCAATTTTTGGATCAGGGAAATGACAAAAATAACAGGTCTATTGCAAAATGATCAGAATTTTCGGTGACTAGGCCTATTATTAGATCTTGATAGAGCTATAATGAGTAGGACTTATAGAATTAAAGACATAAAATAATTTTTAAAAAAATAATACAAATTGCTATATATATCTATTCACTGATCAAATTCCTCTTCAACAAAATAAATAAGCAAATATTTTCAAAAAGTCAAAAAAGTTAAAATTTCTATAGATAACATTGTTTCATACCGGTTTTGGAGCTCTACCCACACATTTTAAATATTCTTTGTCACCTAAGCAATTTCCCATTGCATTTCCAAAATTCCTGCAGGAAAAATGTATAAACTTTAGTGCTTAAGCTTATACACATTATTTCAAAAGTACAAATTCTTATCGAGTAATTAAAATGGGCGATGAGACCAGTTATCTCTTTTAGCAGTGACTAGTTTCGTTCGTATTGAACTCTTCAGACTGATTATTCTCATATAGTGAGATTCTATATATACTATAGTATAATGAAATCCCTGTAAAATTTTACTTTTGATTTTGGCAGGGTTACTTGGAAAGCGTTTTACCAGGGTTTGGTGTTTTGGCGGGGTTCATGTGTTTGCCTTTTACCAGGGTTTGGGTTTTAGCGGGGTTTGCATGGGGTTGAGATTTAGGTCAGGTAGCTGGGGTTGCCATGACCAGGGTTGGGAGAGAGAGAGAGAGAAATGGGGTTTAACGTCCACTCAACACAAACTAGGTCATTTCGGGACTAACATATGGTTCAATTTTATTTTTCCATAATTCGCTTGCGCGTAGGGGTCTTTAGCAGTGGGAGGAAACTGGAGGACCCGGAAAAAAACCCACGAGGTTGGACCGGCGCCCCTACTCCTTGTCACATACACCTGGGGATAACCAGGGTTGGAAAAGTGGATTTTCACCAAGGTTTCAGTGATAATGGTGGTTACAAATGAACATCATAAGGATGAAAGTGGTTTATAGACAGGAAGTGAAGAGAAGAAAAGGAGTTCTAATGGTTTATTTGAATGTTGCTGAGCCTAAAGACGACTGAAGAATTGAAGAGGTCGTTGCCCATGAGCGGCGATGGAAGTAATTGTGAAACGATGATCCAGAGTGCGATCTCTGTTGTTCCAAATATAGCCCCTTTTGGTTCCATTTGGTAGGGGGAAGTGGTAAGATCCCAGTGGCGGAAACGAGGGAAGGGGGTGCCTATGGGATTGGGGCCTGGCTGGTGCTTAATTTTGGTGTGGCATTAAGAAAAAAATATTCTTGTCTGTGGTAGTTTTTACAAACTTTCATTTCCAGGAAGTGTCTTTTCTAATATGCCAGAGAAGGTGGCATTTCTTGGACACAATCTTACCACAGTAGAAACAGGTGTCGATAGTTGTACAATGGTAATTATGATGTTGAGTGCCGGATTATGACATCATGTCGAGGTGATATACGTAGAATAGTATAGTATAAGGTGTTAGTGTAATACCAGTGAGAGGGTAAGAATAATAAATCCAAAGCTGGAACACTCAGAAGGTGAGGGTTGTATAACAAACAAGCGAACAGTGAGGCTGATGTTCCCAGCCAAAATCCTAAAATAAATAGATGACATTAATTTATCGCACATTTATTTTTTTCAAAAGTATCAAGCAATCAAACTGATTATCAACTATAAACTTAGTTTCATCACTCTCTATCAGATAAGCTCTGCTTAGTTTGAACTCAGTCAAGATATTCACCTACATCAAGTTTAAACATTCTACCTCAATTAAAAGCAGTTTTGTTATGTTCAAAAGTCTTGACCAATCAAATTGCTTATCGCTCCTTAGCCTAAGCAGATAATTCTCATCATCAAACTTAGTCAAGGTAGTGATATAATGAATCTATACTCGCAATTATAACCAAAGTTATCGTGCCCCAAATAATTAACTAATCAGATTGCTTATCTCTGCTTACCCTAAGCAGACATTGTTTATCTTTGAACTCCATCAAGGCATTCACCTAATGAACACCTACACCAAGTTTGAACATTCTACCTCAATTAGAAGGAGAGTTATTGTGTTCCAAAGTCTCGGCCTATCAAATTGCTTATCGCTCTGCTTACCCTGAACAGAAAATGCTCATTATCAACCTTAGTCATGGTATTGATGTGATAAAACTATACACCAAGTGTCCTCACTCTCACTTAATTAGAACTAAAGTTATCGAGTCCCAAATCAATACCAATCAAATTGCTTATCTCTGCTTACCCTAATAGTCGGGACGTCAAATTTTGATCAACATTTACAAAAGAATGAAAATAAATCTTCCTGTACTGATAGTATTTTATACAAGTTGACAAAAACTATACCAAATGTATTTTTAACAAAGATAATTCACCCCCTGTGTCTAAAACTATGTCTTTTGAATATCCAATCTGCTTGTAATAAAGGACTTGACATTGAGGAGACTATGCTTGTCTTTACTGAAACCTGGCTCAAACTGCAAGGTGATGAATCAATAATTGCTATCATGACACCGAATGGTTACAAATTTGAACATAAACCCCGCATGTCTAAAGGCAGTGGCATAGCCGTAATTTATCGAGAACATCTTTCACTAAAATTCTATCCTCCAAAACTCATAGATGTTTTAACCAGTGGCTGCCAGGCAGGATACACCCACATTTTCGAGAGATGGATAGAGAACAAGCTAAAAAGAAAGTGATTTTTCCTACAATCAAGGGCCAAAATTCAGGAAATTACAATTCGATATGTGCAAATATCGAAAGGAACCGAGATCTTTGGGTTATAAACTTACATTTCAAGTTTCAACAAAATCGAATAGGGTCCACAAGCTTAAAAAGTGATTTTTCCTACAATCAAGGGCCATAATTCAGGAAATTACAATTCGATATGCGCAAATATCGAAAGGAACCAAGATCTTTGTGTTATAAACTTACATTTAAAATTTCAACAAAATCGGATTAAAATTGTGACCTCTATAGGGTCCACAACCTTGATATACCATATTTTTATTTGAGAACGAAGGGCGGCCATTTTGTCTGTCAGTTTGGGGCTGATTTTCACAAAATTCGGTGATATAATTTTAAATAGGATAAAAATTATGATCTCTATTGGGTCCACAAGCTAAAAATGCGATTTTTCATACAATCAGGGGCCATAATTCAGGAAGTTACGGTCCGATATGCACGAATAACGACAGGAACCGAAATCTTTGGGTTATAAACTTACATTTCAAGTTTCAACAAAATTGGATAAAAATTGTGACCTCTATAGGGTCCACAACCTTGATATACCATATTTTTACGCTATTTGAGATCGAAGGGCGGCCATTTTGTCTGTCAGTTTTGGGCCGTTTTTCATGAACTGCGAACTCAGCCGTCCTTAGGGTGTAACGGTGATATAATAATACGTTTTTTTAAAACGGATAAAAATTTGACCTCTATAGGGTCCACAAGCTAAAAACGCGATTTTTCGTACAATCAGGGGCCATAATTCAGGAAGTTACGGTCCGATATGCGCGAATATCGAAAGGAACCAAGATCTTTGGGTTATACCATTTTTTTTCACTATTCGCGTACAAGCGGTGGCCATATTGTCCGTCAGTTTTGGTCCGATTTTCACGAAATTCGAACTCAACCTTTATTATGTTGTAACGATGATATACTAAAACGTTTTTTAAAATTGGATAAAAATTGTGACCTCTGGAGGGACCACAAGCCAAAAAAGCGATTTTTCGTACAATCAGGGGGCCATAATTCAGGAAGTTACGATCCGATATGCGCAAATATCGAAAGCAACCAAGATCTTTGGGTTATAAACATGCATTTTAAGTTTCATCAAAATTGGATCAAAATTGTGACCTCTAGAGTGTCCACAAGCTAAAAATGTAATTTTTCGTACAATTAGGGGCCATAATCCATAAAGTTATGGTCCGATACATGCCAATATCAAAAGGAACCGAGATCTTAGGGAGATAAAGCTATATTTCAAGTTTCGTTGAAATAGGATAAAAAGACGCGCGACAATCGAGCTGGAAATCGAGAATAGGTGGAAAGAATGAAACTCGGAATCAATATTTTGAGCAGTCAGGCTTTCTGATGAGAAGTGTTCCGTAAAAACTTTTCTTGATAAATCAAAAGTGTTCATTCTATCCTGCTACGGATTAAGAGGATTCTCTAGTTTCAACGAAGCGAGACAATCAAGGTGGAAATCGAGAATAGGTAGAAATCAAGCAGTGGCTCCTAAACTTGAAATATTACCCCCAACAGACGAAGCTGTAAAAATGAACCTGAAACCAGTCTAACTTCAATTAAAAGTATGTTTTTCATCCCTGGAAACCGATCCACCAGACTCAAGTGCACTAGACTACAGTTGGAGTGAGGACTCTTCCAGCCCAAAAAATCACTAGTGCCCAGAATGATACTAAGATGGTACCAGATGTTCTGATAAAAGTTATAAAATGAGGATGTCAATCTGAGCCGCTATGTCAAACCGGCCGTTGTGGCTGTAAAAATTCAGATTTGTCATGTTCTGATTTTTGTTCTTGTTCCAATTCAGACAAATGTTTCAATTCCGTCTCATTTGAGACTGGAACCGAGGATAGTGATGATGAAGACGAAGGAGATAATGAAGATGACACAATATGATATATTAATATTAATATTGCTTTGGTTATGTTTTACATATCGTATCGTTTTGTTACTTATAGTTTTAGCTAAAATTGAAATTTCTGGAATGATTTATCATAAATCCAGCTGTGTGAACTTTGTTTTCTTTTCTATTTTACGCATTCATGTTGGGTCTTATGTTAAAAAGATGTCCGAATTTGTGTTATGCGACCCCCAAAACATATAAAACGATATATTACACAAAATATGAAATTCTTGTACTTGTAGGACGGATATTAAAAATTGTTGGGACACCAACAATAACCCACCAAGAAACATTATATATCAAACAAAAGTGGGTTCTCAGCCCTCACATCCGGACTATAGTATAAGCAGAAAATTCTCATCTTCGAACTCCATCAAGGCATTCAACTAATAAACACCTACGCCAAGTGTGAAGATTCTAGCTCACTTAGAATGAGGGGTTTTACGTAGGCTAAGCCTGTTCCCCAATCCCATTCAGACATCCTGAATAAAAATATTGTTTATAAAATAAAAAAAAATTAGAATGAGAGTTATTGTGTTTCAAAGTCTTGACCTATCAAATTGCTTATCACTCTGCTTACTCTGAGCAGAAAATGCTCATTATTGAACTTAGTCAAGGTATTGATGTAATAAAACTATAAAACAAATTTCATCACTCTCACTTAGTTAGAACTAAAGTTATCGTGTCCCAAAGCATCAACCAATCAAATTGCTTATCAAACATCTACACCAAGTTTGAACATTTTAACTCAGTTAGATGGAGAGTTATTGTGTCCCAAAAAGTGTGACAGACAGACAGATGGATGGACGGACGGACAGACAGATCAACCCATTTTAATAGTCCCCTGTTTTTTTCGAAAGGTAGCGGACAAAAACCTTTCGACCACATGGTATCAATGACAAAATATGAACTTGGGCATCCTCCATTTATTTTCTTTGTTATACATATTATTATTATTAATATTCATAATTCAACTCATACTAAGACAGTAAAAATTTGAAACTTCCCCATCTCTAGTTGGTCCATGATTTCGACTACAGAACATAGTGACTTAACATCAATTGACACAGAAAGAGTTGTGTGATAGCTCTGCCAGTCCTTATACAAGATGAGGAGCAAATAAAATTACAAAGTAATCAACAATGGTGATTGCTCCACATGGTTTTCATTAAAACTTGTCACTGGACTTACTTGAGTGATCGTTTTAAGCCATCTGTTGCTGCTTCTTTGCGAGCCTTTTCTATAGACAGAGCTTTAGATTTTAACCCTTCGCTAACACCATAGCCAATATCTTCATGATAAACACCATCCTGTAAGAAACATACAAACATTTAGAATAACTATCAGTAAAGCATAACCAATAAGCATAAATGCTGGGGCGAGGATTAGTATTTTAATGAAGTCCTCCTGTATGCTGTAACATGGACATAAGTTATTAGTAGATCCTAATAATAATAATAATACAAAAAGTGTATACCAACCTTTAACTGTACACGTACCATGGCACTAACTCCTACATAATATCTTCCATTGATATGATCAACAAAATCTACAGAATATAAACATGTTATTTCAACATTCTGGGAATTTAGAGCAACGGCAGATTTAGACATGGTGTGGCTCTGATTTGAGAAATACAAAGCTGGATCTAGACTTGGTGACGTTCTGATCTGAGCAATATAAAGCTTGGTGGTACCTTATTAAAAAATCACAATTTTATGTGCAGAAATGGGGTATAAAATGTGTGCAGTAATCCAGAGAAGTGGTGGAAAATTCGGGAGGCCAGAGAAAACCCATAGCAACCCTATTCCTTGTCACGTAGAAGTGTGTAATGAATCGAGCCCATTAAACGTACAAAGAAAACAGATTTTATGATTTACAGCATTCTCATTAGACCACATCTCCCACACCCCACCCACAGAACTTTCGCATTGGTAACATGAAATTACTAATCTTTTTACTTCATACAAATAAAACAAGCCAATAGTAAGGCTGATGTCCCTCGACGAAATCCTAAAATAAATAGATGACACATATTAATTAATCGCACATTTATTTTTTTCAAAAGTATCGAGCAATCAAACTATACACTAAGTTTCATCACTCTCTATCAGATAGAATCAAGATTATCTTGTCCCAAAGCATCGACCAATGAAATTGATTAGCTCTACATAGCTTTAGCTTGAAATGTTAATTATTGAACTAATGAACATCTACATCAAGTTTAAACATTCTACCTCAGTTAAAAGCAGAGTTGTTATGTTCCAAAGTCTTGACCAATCAAATTGCTTATCACTCCTTAGCCTAAGCAGAAAATTCGCACCATCGAACAGAGTCAAGGTAATGCTATAATTATAACCAAAGCTATTGTGCCCCAAAGCATCAACCAATCAGATTGCTTATCTCTGTTTACCGTAAGCAGACAATGTTCATAAAGGCATTCACCTAATGAATGTCTACACCAAGTTTGAACATTCTACCTCAATTAGAAGGAGAGATATTGTGTTCCAAAATCTCTACCAATCAAATTGCTTATCGCTCTGCTTACCCTGAGCAGAACATGCTCATTATCGAACTTAGTCATGGTATTGATGTAATGAAACTATACACTAAGTTTCATCACTCTTACTTAATTAGAACTAAAGTTATTGTGTCCCAAAACATATTCAACCAATCAAATTGATTATCTCTGCTTACCCTAAGCAGAAAATGCTCATCTTCCAACTCCATTGAGGCATTGACCTAATAAACACCTACACCAAGTCTGAACATTCTAGCTCAATTAGAAGGAGAGTTATTGTGTTCCAAAGTCTCGGCCAATTAAATTGCTTATCGCTCTGCTTACCCTGAGCAGAAAATGCTCATTATCGAACTTAGTCAAGATATTGATGTAATGAAACTGTACACCAAGTTTCATTACTCTCACTTAATTAGAACTAAAGTTATCGTGTCCCAAAGCATCAACCAATCAAATTGCTTATCTCTGCTTACCCTAAGCAGAAAATACTCATCTTTGAACTTCATCAAGATATTGACCTGCACCAAGTTTGAACATTCTAGCTCAATTAGAAAGAGTGTTATTGTGTCCCAAAAAGTGTGACGGACTGACGGACAGACAGACAGACAGACGAATCTATTTTAATAGTCCCAGGCTGCTTTCACCGAAAGGTGTGGGACAATATATATACTATTGTTCATATTCTTACCAACAGTTTGATTTGTGACGGAATGTGACCAGCCATTAAAACCAAAAGTTTCATTTGCTATATTAATCAGCTTCCATCCCTCTATATAAGCTAACTGACAAATAGAAGTGTGTAGAAGTTATAATAATAAAGCCTATAATATATACAAAATGCATTGGGTAATTTTTGTAGAAGAATTTTACCATATTTAACTGAAATGAAATGAAACAAATGGGGTTTAACGTCCTACTGTTCTGCTCTGACTAAGCTAATGAAGATGGGCATACGCCATACAGTGTGCTATGAGGGAAATTTTGCCAATTAATATTATGTATACACAGGACATTGGTTTTTCATGTCATACGAATGACTAGACAGCTGTCCTTGTCAGACCCTCCGTCCCGCACCACTGACAAGGGGAAACCACATCGGAAAATTCCAATGAACCAATGAACTTTCTCGGGCAATGCAAGGATCGAACACGCAACCTCCAGGCTCCTGAACTAGAACTTCCCCACTTAACCACCGTGGCTCCCCCATATTTAACTAAAAAAATGAAAATCTATAAACAGAGAGTTATTCAATACTTATAATGTAGCCTAGTATAATTAATGTGTAAGGCCTTAACCTTATACGACAGCCTTACTATATTTAATCTGTTGGCCCATTGGCTCATAATACAGTAGTCTGATTAGTTCTGCACCTTTGGTTTGTGGAGGCTACCATTATTTATCATCTAATTGAAAGCTGTATGATACAAGCCACCCTCGGTATCCCAGTGGTATAATTCCATTCTACTCTACTAACCCCTGTGTCCATTTACGAGGGAGACAAGTATTCAAATTATCCACCGTTTATAATTTTATCGAGCAACCAAAACTGTGATAAATATAAATAGAAATGAAGGGAAGACACTTGCATTTTGTTCCAACAGTCTGAATCGTTGTAGTACACTTTGTTTTGTTTTACTTTTAGAACATATTTTTGTGTGTATGTCACTCTTTTCATATTAAATGTAAACAGTGATGTTAAAACTGGTTTGTAAACTCTTGTTTGTAGCCTCCTGCCTCAACCTACGTGGTCAGTGGAATCATTAACATGATTAAGGCAGATAATTTAAATTTTTGACTAACTCATGAATGAACCCAGAGGTTAGAGGAGTAGAACAGAATCAAATCACTGGGGATACGGAGTATGGATACAGGCATTCTGATTGATAATGTAAATGAGATGTGGTTACACAGTATATTGAGTTTAGTATTTGTATACTAATATATCCAAGCTTTTAACAGATAATGCCAAATTATACCAAGCTGTTTTGTGAGAATGCTATTGACGAAGAGCGTATTTCCATCTTCAGAAAGGTACTAGGATATTAAACCTGAATCTGTATCAGTTCATTTAGTGACGATGCTTATACATTTTTTCTGAGACATGTTTATTTGTCCTTATGTTGTATGCTGATAATATAACTATAAGCTCAACAAATCCATCAATAAATCAGCCTTTTTAATAAAAAAATATTTACTTTCAGTCCCCCTGCTCCTGTTCTTTGGCTGATAAATTTAGGTCCAAGTCTTTGTCGTAAACAATCTTGAATAGCTTCATGTTCCTCTGTCGAGAATCCAGTCTAAAATACAAATAACCAGTGGCTGCCAGGCAAGATACGCCCACATTTTGCAAGAGATGGATAGAGAACAAGCTAAAAAAAAAAATAACCCAAGATTTTTCGTACAATCAGGGGCCATAATCCAAGAAGTTATGGTCTGAAATGCATGAATATCGAAAGGGACTGAGATCTTTGGGATATAAAGTAAAGATATATTTTAAACATATTCTTTAAGTGGCATTTAGCGATCGGGGAACACATTAACAGAACACAGTTTTTATGGGATACAATCACTAGTTTATTCTAAAAGCACGACGTTTCGACAAGTATCCTCTTATCATTATCAAGCACAAATGACAATTTAGTTCGTTCGTTCGTTCTTGGTGTTTAACGTCTGCTTCCACATAAGTGATATCGCAGACAAGACATAGGAGAGCCGAAGCTGATTCCTGTTTTTTAGAATATGATTTTGCAATCTTTCCATTTGGCCTTAGGCCATGGATTTGGTTTAGTGGGAAGTTCTTCCCTTTATTTAATATAAAACATATCGTTTGGTAGATGATCTCGTCTGCTTCTGGATTGGTAGATGTCATCGTTTGGGGTTAGTGTTTAGGTGCCAGGCCCGTCTTATCGTGGCTTCCCCTTACTCCACTATCCCACTCTCTGGGTTTGGTATCAGTTTTATTTTCGGAATAGTGTTTAGGTGCCAAGTTCGTCTGACCGTAACTCCCCCTTACTCCACTATCCTGCTAGTTTGGTAGATGTCATCTTTGTGGGGTTTGTGTTTAGGTGCCAGACCCGTCTTATCGTGACCTCCCCTTACTCCACTATCCCACTCTGTAGGTTTGGTGTCTGTTTTTGGTGGAATAGTGTTTAGATGCCGAGTCCGTCTGATCGTGGCTCCCCCTTACTCTATTCTAGTTGTTGTTGTTCTTAGCGTTTAACGTCCGCTTCCACCGAAGGTGATATCGCAGACAAGTTCATTTTTTTTTTAATGATCTTAGCGCACGCACAGGGGTCTTTGCTGTGGGAGGAAACCGGAGTACCCGGAGTAAACCCACGAGGTTGAGAAGGAGCCCCTATCTCCAAGCCACATACGCTCACACCTGGGATCGAAACCACAGCCGCAAGCCAGAGGTGACCGGCCAACTAGAGGTCGAAGCGTGACACTCTAGACCACTAGGCCACTAGTAAACTTGTGGACAATATATATGAAATTAATAAGAAACCATCTGCATAGATTAAGAATAACAGTAATAGAAATAATAAAGGTGTAAAGGATATTTAACAATAACAACAAACATAACCAGGTTATTAGCTACTAATAAGCACTGATACTGCATGATTAGAGGGTTATTAACAGTTATGAAGCCCTTCAAAGGGTGGCATGTATGGATAGTGGTAAGTTGATAAAGCACAGGTAGTGAGGCCATATCCATGAAGTTAAGTAAGATATGCATTATATAAGTACAACTATAACAATACACAATATGTACTAAGAAAACGATAAGAGGATACTTGTCGAAACATCATGCTTTTAGAATAAACTAGTGATTGTATCCCATAAAAACTGTATTCTGTTAATATATAATAAAACCATTAATCTACCAACTAATAAAACCAATTAATCAACAGTAGGATGGAGCGCAAAAATGTCCTCTAGAAGGAAGCGTAAACCTCCCTACATTTATAATAAAACCACTAATCTACCATTAACATAATTCATGAGTAATTTATTATTCTCATTATTACCATTAATATCTATTTATTATTCTTATTATTTATCTGCAATTCAGTTAACACTCTATTTTCTTTTACTCTCCCTTATTATTTTTATTATTAGTTTAAAATGATTCCCTGCCCACCCCCCCCCCCCCCACGAAGCCTTACTAGACGAAATAACCAAAAAATCACAGTAAGATCAGATACTCTCTTTTCTCTAGCTTTCTTTTTCAGGTGCTGGATTCTTCCTTCAGAGAACCAACAATAAAAGGAATGAATAACATAAATAAAGATGTAAAAACGCTACCATACCGGACAACATACCCAAATGGAAGGAAGAATGGACCAGGACTCAAACTCACCAACAAAGCCCCAAGGTAGAGTTGCACCGCCCTGCCATTCTACCGGACAGAACGACCAGACCAACCCAATCGACCCAAAATATATATATATGTACATAATATGTCTATGTCTGTGAAAATGTCCGTCTTTGTCCATGTCTGTTCCGTCAAATCGCATGTTTGTAAATGTCTACTGGCACCTGTTTCGTCCTTTGCACATGTTATCCTACTGTTGTTTATTGTCCTATGTACATATATATGAAAACCTAACCATCCTAATATTTCTCACTAATCACATTGTAAATTAATGCACCTGTACACATAACACGTCATTGTCTGCGATATCACCTCGGTGGAAGCGGACGTAAAATACAACTAACACTAACTAACTAATATATTTTAAAGGAGCTAAATTGCTAACATTTGGGACCTAGAAATTGACACAAGTAGGTCGCAACTCATATAATACTGTAATACGAATGTATATAAACTGATATACATTCAATGGTTTCCGTTTTTACTCTAATTTCAAATCAGTTATGTTCCACGAAATAAGCCAGCAGTCTCAATCGAATGCAAATTTCTAGTGCCTGGTTATTCCAGTCTACATACGCCGTTTGGTTTGATGCAATATGTCTAGCCTAGTTCCTCGAGTCTCTTGGTAGAACTGGGGCTGAAACGCATTATGGTACACGATTCGTGTACCAATGGTAAAATGTTTATTTTGTCTTAAATATTGGATATCAGAAGCCCATATTTTTCCGGCAAGATCACAGCATCAATGTTGATTTAAATTGACAAATAATTTGTGTTTTCAATAATGAAGATTTTGGATGATATTGAGTTAGAGACTTAGCTACCTTAAGTTTCATCAAAATAGGACAAAAATTGTGACCTCTATAGGGTCCAAAACCTTTGTATTACATACTTGTACACAATTTGCATGCAAGGAGCGGCCATTTTGTCAGGCAGTTTCGGTTCGATTTTCATGAAATTCAAACTTAACCATCATTAGGATTTAATGGTGATATATTCAAACGTTTTTTAAATTTGATAAAAATGGTAACCTCTAGAGGTGACTTTTTGTACAATAAGGGGCCTTAATTCAGGAAGTTACGATCCAATATGTGCAAATATCAAAATTAACCAAGATCTTTGGGTTATAAACATGCATTTCAAGTTTTATCAAAATCAGATGAAAATTGTGACCTCTAGAGTGTCCACAAGCTAAAAACGTGATTTATTGTAAGATCAGCGGCCATAATCCATGAAATTTATATCCGATACATGCCAATATCAAAAGGAACTGAGGCCTTTTGGAGATAAACCTATATTTCAATTTTCGTCAAAATTGGATAAGAATTGTGGACGCAGAGACGGATGTCCGGACGGACAGGGGCGACGACAATATACGTCCAGATGAATACCAATATCAAAAGGAACTGAGGCCTTTTGGAGATAAACCTATATTTCAATTTTCGTCAAAATCAGATAAGAATTGTGGATGCAGAGACGGATGTCCGGACGGACAGGGGTGACGACAATATACGTCCACTTGAAAATGTGGGTGTATAAAAATTGAGGTTAATTACAGATAGGCCTTATTTCTAATTCTAATGAACAGGAAAAAAAGAATTATAGGAGCAAATTATACTATGAAGCCACCAAAATTTAAATACAAGTTAATCATTATAGATTGTTTACCATTCATTTTCAATTGAAATGTCATTGTGTGCTGTGTCAACCATTGCATAGTGATAATGCCCACTTGCTGCATGATCATTCACTTATCGTACAGATGGAGTGACATGTCCATAATGATTCTTGTATTAACACTTATATTATTTATAATATGATTGGCTTGAATAAGTTAAAATAAAACTTATTATAATTATATCTTTTTTCTGAATAAGTCCACAAAAAAAAGTAATAACAATTCAAAATGAAATTCTAAAGAAGGTATGAAAACTTAAAATGGGAATTTACCTGGCCGAAGCAGGTTTGCTTTATGTTCATCCTTGAGTCTGTCAAAGTTCGATTATCACAAACCATCTGAAATTCTAAATATTATTTCAACTTCAAATGGTAGAAGATGCAGTAAGTTAATGTAATTAGTCTTATCAATTATAGCGATACACAGCACACAGAATAAACCAGAGAACAGGGGCCATAATCCAGTAAGTTATGGTCTGAAATGCACAAATATTGCAAGGAACTGATATCTTTTGGATATAAACATATATTTCAAGTTTCATCAAAATCAAACAAAAATTGTGATCTTTAGAGGGTCTACAACCTTTGTATTACATACTTTTTTACTATTTGCGTACAAGTAGCGGCCATTTTGTTTGGCAGTTTCGTTTTTATTTTCCCGAAATTCGAACTCAACCTTCATTATGGTGTAACGGGGATACATTTAAACAGTTTTTAAAATCGGATAAAAATTGTGACCACTAGAGGGTCCACAAGCTAAAAATGTGATTCTTTGTACAATCAGGGGGCATAATCCCGGAAGTTATGGTCTGATGTGCGCAAATATCTAAAAGAATTGAGATCATTGGGATATAAACATATATTTCCAGTTTCATCAAAATCGAATGAAAAAAGTGTGACCTCTAGAGGGTCCACAACCTTGATATTACATACTTTTACACTATTTACATTCAAGGAGCGGCCATTTTGTTGGGCAGTTTTGGTCCAATTTTTATGAAATTCGAACTCAAGCATCATTATGGTGTAACAGTGATATATTCAAACACGATTTTTTGTACAATCAGGGGCCATAATCCATGAAGTAACAGTCAGATATTAATAGATGCCAATATTGAAAGGAACAAGACCTTTTGGAGACAAATGTGGGCATATAGAAATTCCAAACATATTACAGCTGTGTGCAATCATCAAACCAGCAAGTTTAATATAAGCTTCTAATTAGTTTAAGCACTTTCAGTTGCTTTTTGTATACAATTTACCGGTGATATAATTTAAGCCTAGTGCTTAACTTGTAAAATACTTAAAGCGAGAATTTCAAATTTTCTAAGAAAGTCAAAACATAATTATTTCTGTCTTTTGCTCAATAGGTTATCAAATCACTATTATACGATCATGGGCATTATTTCCCACCCTTAAAATTTTATGACACAGAAAATAACAATGTCACAATTACCTCCCCTGTTTTGCTATTGACAACATGGGGAAGTCATTTTCCAACGTTGGAATTTGAAGTTAAAAATGATATTTTTGCCAATTTCTCAGCTGGCAATAGCGAATTATAGGATTAATAGGATTATTCTTTAACAAGTTGTTTATGGATACCATCTATTTTAAGGCTTTATTTTAATGCTTGAAAATTTGCAATTGCAACTTTAATCAATCCAACGAGTTTTCTATAAACATCGTATAAGTGAGAAATTATTCACCATATCTGAAAAATCAAATGTTATAATCTTTTTTTATTTAAATAATGTAAAGTAATTATAACTATAAATTGATTGGATAATTGAAAGCTATTATGTCGTCTATGAGAATTGAACATTTGGTTTGAAACTCTTCACTTTAATGTATTAATAAAACAGGACTGTCTAATTGTCTTTTAAACCTAAATGATTAATTTACAGAATGATGATTAGTTCTAATTTTTGTCCCTCTTTGATTACAATCTACATCTAAACGATCTATTCAGAAATCAATGTACCGGTATGCTTGGCGGTTTAAGTTTAATATGATGAGAACTTTTGGCCTTACATAATGATGATACATATTACTTCTTTGATTATATCATATTACTAAACCTTGATTGAGACTCAACACACTAGTTTAAAATGAGCTGCAATATCTGTAGCGGTGATACTTGTCTTGTCCACCGCTACAATGGATACACTCTACGAGGCTTTTCACAAGTAAAAATAACTTCAATTGCAAAATTTTCAACGCATATCATCACAGTTGGCATGGAAATAAGTAATTATGTTACAAATAGTGAAGAGTGGTACACTGAAATCTTAATTTTACCTTACCGAATAGTTTTTCTGTTTTTTCGAGGTAGCGTGAAATCATGTGCGTGTTCTAATTCTGGTTCAGTGGCCATTTTAAAAACGACAGAAATATTGCGCAGCCATTTGATTTGATTAAATTTATGAATCTATGAGGTAAGGTTTCACCTCTATTTGAATGGAAATTGATTTCTTATATGTTAAGCTATGTGCAGTACAGTTTAGGGTCTGTTTAATTAGAAATTAAGTGAGTTATATGCCAGCAACTTTTTTGTAGTGAAATGACTACAAAACTTGCTCAAACTCTATGGAAGTACTTAGTTTAGTAAGAACGATCCACTACTGTGGCTGGAGCAAGATGGAACTTCGGAAGAGATCAGACCAGCATCCAGTGTAGTAGTACTTTTTAGTAGAACCATTTCTAGTTGGAAATATATTTGCAATAAAATGTAATTGGAAAGTAATTATATGTTATTATTTACATGTCCATATAGACCAGTCACATCGAACGAAAATAATTTTGAACCATTTACGGGCCTCTAAATGGCTACTTTTACTTTATTATTATGATTTTAAATTTGCCGCCATGTTGTTTGTAAAACTGATGGTTATCTGTGACATCAAACACGAGTTCTTTAGCTTATATTTATATCTACTTTTCTTTGTTGATATTCATTTTACATGCACTAACAAATAAATAAATGTATGGATAAATATTTAAGAATAGAATACATCATCATTGATATTTTAACGTTGAAAATTCTTCGTGTTTTCTTAGGATTCTGAAAGTAGGTCATTTCTGTAATTCCAATACCGGAAGTTTACTTCTGAGAGACAGGAAGCAGGTGGCGCTGTTGAAATCTGTCCTCTGCAATGTCTTCGGAATGAGATAGTCTTGTGATAAATCAAGACGAGAGACGGCATATACTGCCTTTTTCGAAACAAATATGGTAAAAAATGTGTAGAGTTTATTTGCAAGTTCCAATACTGTAAGTCTGGATTTGATTTATAATTACAGAAGCTGTGGAAATTCGACAGAAATTGCAATTATTGTTGACACCAAAAATGGTCTGGCTTCAGCCTTCTCCAGCTTCACTTTGTTGACGGGACCAAAAAACATTGACATACAATGATGCTAGTCGTGAACTGTTGTCTGTGCAGTAAAGCAAAATAGGCTAAACAGTTTTAATAGATATATTTAGAGTGGACCACTCAAAGTATCACCATGTTCAAGAAAAGCCACAGTCGGTCCTCAAGTCGCTCTGATAATTCTGAGTTTGATATTCCAATTGGAAAAATGCAGCCAGCTAAACAGGCACTGCAGCAGACTGGTACTGGAGGAGGAAGTGTTAAATTATCTCGATCTAGAACATCATCTGAGGGAGGATCACAGAATTCTGGTAGCTACAGGCCCTACCAATCATCCAGCCTGACAAGAACAGTAAATCCAATGAATTATCCGTTAGACAATTTAACAGCTCTTAGTATGGCACTAAGTGGAAATTCACCATATTCTGCTGAAAATCTGGCTCTACCTGGACGGCAAAATGTTCATGTGAAGTCAGCCTCTTCAAATAGTTCTCCATCAAACCATGGTGGAAGAACAAGCAGTTTACAAAATGTTTCGAGCAGAGATAGATCATTAGAAAGATTAGAACGAGAATATCTAATGATGGCGGACCGGGCGGACAGATCATTAGATAGACATGGTGGCTTAGAAAGAATGCAATTGGTTTCCCGTGATGGTAGCACAACCAGTCTAATTGACACCAGACGAGGTTATAATCCTGGTCATGGTCGAGATCGGTCCCTTGATCGTGAATATCCTCATATGGGAGCAAGATCTTTAGAGCGGGATCACCATATTACTAGCCGTTCTCGTTCATCTGATCGCGGTGAATATGACCCAATGTCTTCTTCAATAATGAGTGGCAATTTGTCTCCACAAGAATATAGAAACTCTTTCATGTTCGATCTTCAAGTACAAATAACAGAACTACATAAAGAATGTTCAAAACTTCAAAAAGAGCTGGATGCAACTAATGCTAAGCTGTGCTCCAGTATGAACAGCATAAAAACGTTTTGGAGCCCTGAATTGAAAAAAGAAAGAACCATTCGAAAAGATGAAACTGCAAGATATGTTTTATTAAATGAACAGTACAGGGTTGCTCAAGCTGAATTACAGGTGAGCATAAGATACTGGTACCATTTTTATTAGACCTATTTTTAAAACTAAGCTCCTGACATTAAATCAAAGTGCTATACATTCTGCCTAACAAATAGAGTGGACCCCCAGGCCTTATTGATTCGGGTCTGGTAGGACTCTATAGTGCTCCGTGAGTAGAGAGAGAAATGGGGTTTAACGTCCACTCGGCACCAATTAGGTCATTTTGAGACTTAACATAGGATTTAATTTTATTTCAATAATTTGCATGCACGTAGGGATCTTTAGTAGTGGGAGGAAACCGCAGGATCTGAAGAAAACCCACGAATTTGGGCAGACGACCTTACTCCTTGTTACGTTTAACCGGTGAATCGAAACCACGCCAGTTGACTCAATGACAGTCCATACGATACAACATGCACTCGCTAACCGTTAGGCCATCCAACCCCCAAATTTCTGCTGGAATGTCCACCTTAATGTTGTAGCAGGCTAAAAAGATTACTTTTTTTTTTAACAAGGTTTTTTGTCCCAAATTATTGAGGAAAACTTGGTACACATGTACAAGTTCATTTGCTATTTATTTTATTTTTAATTTGTTTATTCTTAAAATATGGGATATATTTCTCCCTTAACGTCATTGTGTTTTGTAATGGCATGGATTGAAAGTTGTCTTTATTATTTCTTGACCAATCAATACAATTGCACTATTTTTAAAGGTCCGCTAATAATCCGAGGATCTTGCGGGTGTGCGATGTAAGATATGGGGCCCCATTCATCCACATGCCATGATATGATATGAATAGTGATACATGTTCAGGTCACAAATGTCACAAGAATCCCCCCACCCGGTTAGATACTGAATATTGTTTAATGTCCAAAGACGAACTTGGTAAAACACAACTTGCCCAACTGACAACTGTATCCATTGTCCATTAAATACCAGGGGTGTATATTATCCCACTGTGTACCATTTTTGTCCTCTATATTCCTTCTGTTCTTCCACACATCTCTGCCCCTGTGACCCACACTTTTTTTTCCTCACCTCGATGCTTTTAAAATAGATAAATGTGCAATTGATTAATATGTGTCATCTGTATATTTTGGAATTTCGGCAGAGGAAATCAGCCTGACCATTGTCTTGTTTTCATACAACTGAAGTAAAGATAAGGATCTACAGTTCACAAACAAAATGAAAGTACATGTACATCTATCACCAACGTGTTTCGGGGCTATTCTGCATTCGAATATGCACCCGGGTGATACATATGTAATATTTGTAGATGAGCTAGGATTGGGGGTGTATAGCTCATTTGTGGAGAAGTATTATAGTGAAGGTGGTCACTGCATTATAAGTCCAATTCCAAATCCATTTCAATATTACTTTATATACAGTTTAAAAATATATTATTTACAAGATCATATCAAAGGGTTATTACATGTAAATGTCTTAAGCCTATCTCATCTGATGTCCCTGTATATTTTTCATTATCTCTTCTGTCTGTGTAGGGGTCTTTTAAACAAACTAATTTGCATATAGACAAAAGGACACATATTTCAACAAATCAGATTAAAGTTAAGTTTAGAGATAAAAATATATTGTAACAAATCAAATGATAGAAGTTAAATTAATATATAAATTTCATTGGGTAAAAGTTTCATAATGAAATATAATTAATTTAATTAGTTAATAAGCTTTAAGTCCTAATAAAAGCCTTGACACTTGTTTGGCATTAATCTGAATGCATTGTTAAAGAACTAAAAATTAGTATCACTATTCGGTTATACATCTATAGAAAATAGGAATACACCAAATTTTTTGATTTTGTATTGAGATACAGCCGAAGTTCAAGAAGGAGATCTAGAAATTTATTTTAAAAAAGATTTTGTTGTGGAAAGAAATAATTCCCTGTCATGATATAATCTTATACTATTACTATACATGATACATGTACATGAAGTTAAAAATTATCATTCATCAATGCATAGCCATTAGCCAACAGTGTGAGTGTGATTATTGACCTACTTGCTTTATGCATTGATGCATTGAATGAACAATCCAACCCTCAGACTTCTAAAAATGTGTTGGGGTTGTCTGGCTACATGTATTAATGATGTGCATGTATTTTCTTTAACAAAGATTTAATTTGGAAATCCACACTTTGGATCAAGACACTTAGACTATATTATACATGTTGAACTTTTATATAAAAACATTATACGGTCTGAACTGTCGTAAATTTTAAACGTATTTCTTCAAAATCTTATGAACAAACTACTTAACTTTGGTTAATATAAACTTACCTCTGTGTTTGAAATCAACTCCCGTTAAATAAAATCCATTGCACAACTAAATATCCCAACGAATAAAAAAAGTTCTCTCTTGAAAAATTGAAATCCCGCAAACTTCTGACACGGAAAAATAACATAATGGAAGTTGATTATGTCACTCTTCTGGAGATATCATTTCATATAAAGGGGTGACAGCATGGCAAATCGAAACAGTTTTTGGTACTTTTAACTTTTACCACAATTCAGGTTTGGTTTAAGAATAACCTATAAGTTATAAGTAAGTACAATTAGGGCTAAATCTATTTGTTAAGGCCAGCTCAATTTTTGTCAAGGTCGTTGATATGTAAATAAGGTTAGGACGTGTGATTGTTGGCGAGATTGTAGGTTAGGGTTAGGGTAAGCATTGGGGCTATGTCCAGGGTTAGGGTTAAGGTTGGGATTAGTGCTAGTCCTGTTTACATCTCGTGACCTATGTTGATAAATTGAGTCTGCCTTATCATTTAGCACTAACCATGCTCAGCTCGGCATTGAGTTTGAGCGTTGACACATGTAACTGCCTGTATTCCTTTATTTTGTTACCATCATCTACATTCTAGTAAAATCTCTGCAAAGTTTATAACATTACCTTTTGAAATATTTTGTTATAATTATTTGATTAGAGACTTGGATGGGGTATATTCTTTTGAACACACGTGCGACACAAAAACAATTACATTCGTTTTACGGGCCTTAGATATTACCCATGATTATCTTTAATATGATATATAAAATGATAATATATAGATTTAACATATACATGTACATGTATGTATTGGGTATTTACATTTATGGGGTGATGGTGTGATAAGAATTATACATGTAAACCCACCCAATAGGCACTTTTAGGGCAGCCGCAACACTCTTAGTCTTATAGATGTTATTGAAGCGGTTATTATTTGATTGTAAGAATGCTATAAAATTGACAATACACTCATAGCTTCATGATCCTTGTTAAATTATTTATAACATAAAGAAGATAGGAAATTTATGTGGAGTAGATTGTCATTGCCTCGGTCTGTCTGTCCGTTCGTTTATTCGTCCACAATTTGTTTGTGGACATTCTACAGGTCACAATTCTTATCCGATTTTGACGAAACTTGAAATATAGGTTTATCTCCAAAGGATCTTGGTTCCTTTCGATATTCGCATGTATAGGATCGAAACTTTTGATAAAACTTGAAATGCATGTTTATAACCAAAAGATCTTGGTTCCTTTCGATATTTGCGCATATCATATCGTAACTTTCTGAATTATGGCACTTGATTGTATGAAAAATTGTGTTTTTAGCTTGTGGTCTCTCTAGAGGTCACAATTATTATCCAATTTAAAAAACTGTTACAACATCACCGTTACACCATAATGTTAGTTGAGTTCAAATTTCGTGAAAATCAGACCAAAACTGACGGACAAAATAGTGTAAACATCTGGTATATCAAGGTTGTGGATCCTCTCTAGAGGTCACAATATTGATCCAATTTTGATGAAACTTGAAATACATGTTTATGTCCCAAATATCTCTGTTTCGATATTCTCGCATTTCAGACTATAACTTCCTGGATTATAGCCCCTGAATTTACGAAAAATCACTTTCTTTTTTAGCTTGTTCTCTATCCATCTCTTGCAAAATGTGGGCGTATCTTGCCTGGCAACCGCTGGTTAGTTTATATATGACTTTATTTTTACGGGTATCCGTGCAATCAGTGATATTTTCATTGCAAATAAAATTTGATAGACTGGCGATCAATGGTTTCAATATAAATCTTCTATGTAATTGCCTTCAGTTGATATTTTCGTTGCCCAAACTCAAACGATTGTAATGATCGTGCTTTATTTTGATTGTAACACGTGGTTGTCAAAATTCAATCACCCCAGCAACAGCTGCATTGGTTTCGCCCAACATATTATTTGTTCTTGAACTCAGTCGAAAATACAAGTAAATACGTCAAATTTTACAAGAGAGAATTTTTTTTATGCATTGGGATATTTAGTTGTGCAATGGATTTTATTTAATGGGGGTTGATTTCAAACACAAGTAAATTTATAATAACCAAAGTTGAGTAATTTGTTCATAATTGAATAATACGTTTAAAAGTTTACGATGGTTCAGATAATAGTACATGTATTATGTACAGTACATTTTTATGTCTTTTGACTTGTGATAACTAATTTAATTCAAGAACAAATGTGTAAAGGATGACTGTGGATTGTAGGAAATGATTCAGAAATGTGCAGTTCATTTGTTGAATAGTCATTGCAAAAAATTTAATTCTAGATCTGTGACTGTTTGACATCATGACCTACAACAGTGTACAGTTAAAGTAACGATGCATCATTGGCATTTTTTGCTAAAATATCCAATTTATCACGGGTTAATCCCAGCCAATTACGTAGCCTGCTCCGATAAAAACAAAATCAAAATACCAACTCTGGATAACCAGGATAACAGGCTTACAACAACATGGTGGAGGACATTAGCGAGTAGCATTGATCGAAGTAATTTCAATTCAACATATCTTTATAAATACAGTTCTAACCATTTTTAGACCGATTTCACAAAATTGTAGTTTGTAAGTGATTCCTATTGCACTAAAATAACACAATGCAGAGACTTTAAAAGTTGAAATAAATTTATTTTTGTGTGTAAGTCTAATATTGTAATAGGCTCGAAAATACTAGTAAAATAAGTATATCC